TAAAGCACAACAACCGATATTAGACTCTAGTAATATTTTTGCTCGAGATGGAGATGAGTCCAGAGAAGATGTAATATTAATCGGAATATTAGCAAAAAAATCTTCAAAAACATTAACTACATCTTTTGTTGCTGTTATTAATTTATTATCATAATTTAATGCAATTTAATTTAATTTAATTTAATTTTAATTTAATCAAAATATTTACTCTTATAATCTATATATCTACATATATATTGCTGCCATCTAATCGGAAGTTCATTTATGCCTATGACAGCGTGCATAAGAAGTCTTGCGTTATCGTGAAGCAATAATGGTGAAGATCGATTCACGAGTCGGGAATGTTTCTCTCTCAGTTTCACCATCATTCGAAATTCTAATATTATAACAATTCCTTTGGAGAGCTTCTGCCCACTTAGGTGATGCAAATGAAGTTGTACGGGTCATCAACATAGTATACCGTATTTATAATAATTACGCTAATGTATACTTCGTACATTGTATTCATAATAGGTCTTAATTAAGTTAATGAAGGCACAATAGTATCGTTCAATATGTAAACAATTTAATTATCAAATTGATTGGAAATTAAATAAAGAATGAAATTCATCCAAGAATTTCATCCATTATTTAATACTGTTCTTTTTATCTGTAAGATACATAACAACCTAATATTACAATGATTATATTTAGAGAAGCCTAGGTAGGGTAAGGTACCTAAACTTTAGGGTTTATGAAAAAAATTGTATTATTGGGACTTGGTCACAAAACAAACTTTATTAGAATGTTTATGACTTTAAAATTATATAATTTCATTAAAATAATGAAATATAAGGATAAAAAATAAGGATTATGTAGTATGTGTATGTGTAGGTACATAGTCTACGCTGTGTTTCATATTTATCGCGATCGTTTACTATTTTCCCGGAGATTACCTACTTGAAAATTATTATTTCACGAAATGTAGTCTTAATTACATAAAATAATATTACAACCCGGAAACATTACAAATTCAGTTTGTAATGGAAAAACGTTAAAATTTATTTCACCAACAGTATGAATAACTAACATTTAAGTTTGAGAATATTTGTGCTCGCATGAAGCCGGAACAGATGGCTATATATCATATAAATTCTTAATTAGTATTCTACATGAATCCTTTCAAATCACACCAAATGACTAAGTGTTTATTGCAATTAAAAATCAAGTCGTTTATCATGTTTCATGGTTCCAATTACTGACGTGTTCTATCTGAAAAGTCGAGTGATGAATGGAAACCTTGTGGTCGAACTATGGCGACGTACTTTGAATATTTATCAGTGGTAGTTACTAAAGATATGACATAGACAAAAATTAATTTATATATCGTTTATGTACCAACCAGTAAGGGACCATCCATAAGGGTTTTATTAGAATAAAAAGTTTAAAGTTTAAAATTAGAGTGGGAGACAGTGCAACATTGTGTGACAAAGGAAGGACGGTGTCATGAGTGTCGTGACATTATTTTTCAATAAATACACTTTTTTAATAGCAACACGCCAGTTTCTTGCTCATTCTTCTTGTGAATGAACGGTAGATTAAAAGAACAATAACTATGACTATTCAAAAGTGCTTAAATTAAGTTTATTTGAATAAAGGATTTTCTACTCTATTCTATTATTTAATACATATTTTAAATGGAAATAAATATACGTATGTAATTTCTAAATTTTGTTTGTTTTTAAAGTATGTGACGATACATTAGATATGGAGACACACAAACGTGACCCGAGACGAAGGACGCATATCATGACAATAATGGGGAATTTTTTAAAGATCCGATTATATACATAGTTTTAATTCAAAATTGCAAAAATATATAAAGTATAATATATACATATTAGTTCAATATCGTCAAATGGATCTAAAATGACGTAATTTTCTAATAATTGTAACCCGAAGGTACTTCAGTAACTGGAATTCCATTGTTACTAAAAATTGAAGTTACATCATCATCTGCTTCTGCCTTATCCCATTTATTTGGGGTCGGCGTAATATGTTTTTCGCTTCCATTCATCGCTGTTCGCAGTAATCGCGTTATTTACTTCCTTTCTTACCATATCATCTTTCACAATGTCCATCCATCTCTTTTTCGGCCTTCCTCTGCCCTTATAACCATCCACATTCATTTGCAACATCTTTCTTAAAATATTATGCTCGTTCCTACGCATTACATTAAAAAATTGAAGTTACAATGACGTATAATTGCTAGTTGGGATTCATCTTAGCATGTTCAATAAATGATTATCTACTATTGCCTACAGCGACATAGGTTCTAGCTAAATCGCCTTTAACACCAAGTTTGTTATTGTTTCCGCCTTTCATTATGTTAACAATGAAGGACTACATGCATTCTATACTTTGATATCTACATCTATACGTATAATTACAATGTAACTAATCGCAGTCTGTACATAAAAGATATATAAGAAATACTAATTACTGTTAATTTTATTATCAATATATTAGAACCAAAAACGATGTACGACTGAAAAAATCTTAGAACTTTCGTCTATTGATCTATATGTTTGTGTATTATCTTAATTTTCCGTTTTGGGTGCGGTTCTCGTTAATACCAATCGATCGGTCGCCCGATGGTCGAAATTTTACCAGGTTTCTATTGTCTAAGAGTCAAATACATGGTAATGTGTGTATTGTTTTTTTAAATTTATTTTTATTTATTTATTTAATTAACAGAATATAAACTTACAGATATAATATAAACTTATTGATTTAATGTATAAACTATTTTTCATATTCCGTCCGCGCTATTTCCGTTATGAGGGTTATAAACTTTTGCTTCACGTATTAATATATTATATATATATATATAGATATCTATGAGAGCACGGGGCGGTAAAGAGAATCACTAGTATCTACATAATAAAAATGTATAAATATCTATCGCTGACTGTACGGTTAAAAAAATATTATTGAGGAAAAACATTAAAGTGACGCATACTTTAACAAACTAATAGCAGCGGGACTATGTTTTAAAGTTTTTGTTTGTGCGTTTATACGCGCTCGAATGGTAAGGTTTACTTAAAAAGTATTATTCGTTTCATTTCATCAAAAATTTCACACCGCACGACTACAATCTAGCTAGATGCGGGATCAACTAGATAGTAGTACCAGTAAACAAAAAGTCATAAGTGAAAACGAGCGGGAATTGAACCCGCTACCATCTGATAGTAAGAGTATATTCTAAACTACCACCTCTGTACCACCGAGCTTTACCACAGACCAGCTGAAAGTATGAGCACATACTAAACCACCGAGATCGATCACAAAAATAACAACATTAATGAATGCAACATGCGTACGATAAATTATGCAGAACATATTCCGGGGCGGACCTCAACCTTCATTTGTTCCATTGTATTTTAATTACATTGACACAAATTAGTATTTCCAATAATCTGTCGCGAGCAGTGAACAGATTCTAATATCATTTATATATAGGTATCTTATCTAAACAACAAACATTTTTTTGCAACTGAAATGAGAAGGCACAAAGTTGATCTTATTGTATTTGTTGACTGGTTGGGTAAGCAACCGTATCCGTATGAACAGCGCCATACACATCGTCTTTATTTGCTTTCCATGGTATGGTACATGTTTAATGTTCCTTGGAGAAGAACAGAGCAGGTCAAGCAGGCTCTCATTTCTCTTGCACTGAGTCTACTCAAGTGTCGTTAATCGATTTCCTGAGCTGAACATATTTACATGTGAATTGTTGAATTTTAGCGGAATGTCAATGAATTTCCGAAATAATACGCAAAATTGTAGATTATTATTGTTTTAATATCTATATATTTTTTTGTAAATTTTCCTAAGTGAGCATATTGGGAAGCTGTAAGGCTGGCTTAGTTTTGAAGTAGCTTGTGATACACTCCAAAATTGTGCATTGAGAATAATTTAAGAAGATTATTTTTAAAACGGAAATGGGATATGCAGTATGAGATAGCGAATCTTAATAATGTTATCATATCAACGCGAAAGTTTGTAAGTATGGATGTTTGTTACCCTCTCACGCAAAAACTACTGCACGGATTTTGATGAAACTCTACAGTAATATGTCTTATACGTCAGAATAACACATAGAATTTAACGCGAGCGAAACCGCGGGCACATCTAGTAGCTGCATAAATACAGGAATGATAATGTTCCTCAAGAATTACTAAAAGAGGTGTAGAGACACCTCTTTTAGTAATTCTATAATATACTGTAGCCTAAGGTCTAACTTGGCTAGTTTTCATGTACGAAATATACTGTAGCCTTCGCAAGTTCTAAACATTTACAACAGTTACTTGTCGGTTCCTATTTTATTATTAGTAGTAACTAGCAATCGAAAGTAATCATTGGTATATGAGAACTGGCCAAGTTAGACTTTAGGCTACAGTATATTATCCTAAGTTATAAGAAGAAATGATATTTTATATTGTTATAAATACATTTCAGGACATACCATTGAACTTGGCATCCATTTAGATCTCACCTCTTTTGTCGTAGAAGTCAACAATCAAGGCATATATCATAATATTAAACTCGGCTATCATTTCACATTTATGTTTTTGATGGGATATAGTTAACATCAAGTAACCCGCTAGATCGTATGCCATTTCAGTTAAATAATAATAATAATCTCAGGACTATTCACACAGCGCCATCTAGACCCAAGTTAAGCTAGCGAAAGCTTGTATTATGGATACTAGATAATTAATACAACAACATAGATTTTTTTCGTAAATACATACATATTATACATAGAAAACACACAGACCGATGCAAGCAATCATACACATCAATACCAATGTTTGTGCCGTGCGAGGAATCAAACCCGCGACCAACGGACGTAACGCGGAATGCTAAATCGCTAGATCATCGAGATCGTCTCGGTAAGAATAAATAAGGAAAGTAATTTATTTATTATGCATATAACTTAGTAATTTTACTTGCAGTGACCATCCCGGTGCTTAATTTCGGGATGCTCCTCGGATGGCAGTCACCCATGACACCTATACTGCAGTCCCCGACGGGCCCAGCCCCTGAGCCTATTACGGATGAGACTATATCCTGGATGGCGTCGCTGGTCTTCTTCCCACCCATATTCTGTGGGTTTCTCATGGGAAACCTAGTCGACCTGGTCGGTAGAAAAAAAGTTACACTTCTGACTTCTTTGTTTTTATTGGTAAGTAATTGGCAATAATATTATAATTAAATCTACTTTATTCTTAGAAAGTTTAGTTAATAATAATCAATTCTAATATTATAAATCCTAAAGTTAATCTTTTACCTTATCCCAATTAAACGGGTTATTCAAGAAGGGTATATTAAGGTTTCTTAAGGGTCGGCAACGCGCAAGTGATACCCCTGGTGCTTCAGGCGTTCATAGGCTACGGTAACCATTTACCATCAGATGGGCCGTATGCTTGATTGCCAACCATAGTAGAATAAAAAAAAACGGATCTTAATGAAATTTGATATGTAGCTGCTAGTATTACGAAGACAGGCATTTCAAAAAAGGTATTAAATAGGGATGAAAGTTTATACATATTACAACTATTAATATCATGAAAAGAAAATATATTTTTTGTACGTTTATCTATACATATAAATACTAGCTGGCCGCCAACGTTATTTTGCTATATAAATTAAAATCGATATTAAAAAATAGGGGTTGATGTTAGGGGTGACAATTTAGGGTTGTATGTATTTTCAATCCTAAATAATAATAAATTTAAAATAAAATATTATATCGAAAAAATTATAACGTATAATGAATTGTTCTTATATTGTTCATCTCTAACTTTAAATGATTGTTTATGTTAATTTTCATCGACAAGTTTGTATATCTGTCTGATTTTTACTTTCTTATCTAAACGACTAAACGGATCTTAATATAATTTGTGATCTGGGAAGGGGTGAAATAGGGGATGCAAGTTTGTGGAGGCGTAGTCACAGGTAAGGTAGTATTTAGTAACGAGTACAAATAAGGGTGAAAAGATTGTTTTTTTGAACGAACTAATCTCTTGATCTGCATATTAGCTTAAAAAACATGTGATACCTTAATTCTTGAGATTAGGGCATAACATTAGGATTCTTTACAATAATAATAATAATAATCCTAGACAATTAATACAGTGCCATCTAGTCCCAAGGTAAGCGGAGCTTGTATTATGGGTACTAGACAAGTGATATAAATGCATAGATTTTTTTTGTAACTACAAATATAATATACATAGACAACATTTAAATTTTATATTGGTATATTAGTATTTTTATATATTTGTATCTGTATATATATGTACTATTTTTATGTATCTATTTGTTATAATTTTTGTTTTTCTTTTTTTCTTTCAATTAATTATTAAAGTGCACCGCCTTATTATCTCAATCAATTAGATCAACGCGACGGTTGACTGGTAGAGAATGCCATCAGGCATTAAGTCCGCCATGTATACATTTTTGTGTGCAAAAGAATAAATAAATAAATAAACACCCAGATCGATACATTTCATCATACAAATATTTGTACCGTGCGACAAACCGAACTCGCGACTATCGGAAGAAAAGCGGTGTCCTATAGCGCTAGACCATCGCGGCCGTCAATCATCGAGATAAATATGAATAATAAGCGAAAAATCAGCCGGAAAGTAATCCTGCCATTACTTTTGAATTAAAAAGCGAGTGAAACTGCGGAACACAATTAGTATATGACAACCAGATGGAAATACCACGCAAAACTTGTTACCTATCTCCCAGTTCTTGTTATTTCCTGTGCGACTGCAATAAACAAGATGTAAGATGAAACGGTCGTAAACTCTTGTAAGCACTTTTGTATCAGGTCGTAATGACACTTAATAGAGTAATTTTTATATATGTTAGAAATTGTTAATAAAATTTGCACACTCATAATTTTTTTTATGAAAATATATTTATTACTAACTGTTTAACTTTTTTTATCGTTAATTTAACATTAGTTATACTTTTTAAATAAATGTAGCATAAGTTACTCCTTATAACATTAGTTATATACTGGTAAAAATCCCCTCAAATTCCGTCCAGCCTTTTCAGACAAGAACAAACAGACTACAGACAAAAACATTAATAGTTTTTTTGATGTAATATAGAATATATCGTATATTTAATTAACAAAAAAAAATATATTAGGTGTCTAATACCCCATATACATGAGCTATGCTTGGCTTGGGTCTAGATGGCGCTGTGTGAATCGTTCTTAGTTATTATTATTAATACTATAGTAGCTACACCTGTTTAATGGCGTTAGAATGAATCATTTTACCTGTCTTTGTCTCCACACCGACTCGATCTATAATGCCAACTTTCAAGCAAATCACTCCTCGATCCTTGTAGCATTCTCGAAAGCTTACGTCAGAATTCTTTGTAAGCGATCTGCTCTTGGCTTTTTGCGGTTTTTGCCACTATTAAGTACCATATCTAATTATTTCATAATAACAAATCATTGTAGATAACTAAGCATGTTATACACTGCACATGAAGTACATTTGGATTGACAACTAAACTGTGATTTTAAAAAGGAATCATGAGAAAAAATAATAGATCCGCTTATAATATATGCAGCAGATTCATCTCGACATGCTACTGAAATGTGAATGTTAAGATGGTCAGGTGGTGTGACAAGAATGGATGAGATATCTGTCTGTCTGTTTGTTCCGGCTCTCTGAAATAGCTGGACCGATTTTGACGAGTCTTTTATTGGCAGATAGCTGATGTAATAAGGAGTCACTTAGGCTACTTTTATTTTAGAAAAATAAAGTTAAATTCCACGCGGTCGAAGTCAGCTACAGAAGACAGCTAGTACGAAATAAGTGAGCAATCTTAGCAAATTTACCAAAAAAAAAATTCAGTTGAGTTTCCTGCCAGTTCTTCTCAATCTATATGCTGAACTGGACAATAGGGGAAAAAGTAAATGGCAAAAACTTGACGTTCATAAGCAGCAAAAATATACTACGTGAATGATTATTTATTTTATACTCAAGATTTTGTTTCGGAATAAAGCAACGATTTTTGGAAGTAAACGACTGACGAATAAAGAAATTTTTCGATTAATCCTAACCTCACCATTAGCATGCCTTATTGCAATTGCATAAAGTATATTTATTATCGACAAAGAAAATCAAAAGCCCAAAATGAAATCATGGACTTTAGAATTAATTATTATTAAATCACCTTAATAATAGGTTTATTTCTATTTTATTACATTCTATTATACCTTTTTTTCCAGATAAGTTGGACGATAACGCTATTCTCGCTGCGGCCGTGGGCACTCATCCTGTCTCGAGCCGTCGCGGGTTTCGCCTGCGCTAGTTGCTATGTAGTCACACCTTTATATCTAAAAGAGGTATGTAGAAATTCTTGTACTGCTAATACTGCGTAAATACCAGGTGTGTCAGTATATTGATACTGTCTCCGAACCTTTAAAATATAATAGATATAAATCCTTGAAAGTTTCCTTATGACTACTTCAAAATATACTGATCTTATAATTTGTTCTGGCTCTCTGAAATGGCTGGACCGATTTTGACGAGACTTTTATTGGCAGGTAGCTGATGTAATAAGGATTCACTTAGGCTACTTTTATTTTAGAAAAATAAAGTTTATTTTCACGCGGACGAAGTCAGCTACAGAAGACAGCTAGTACGAAATAAGTAAGCAATGTTAACAAACTTTAACAAAATACCATTTTGTGACGTCGGTAATTCCATCATGTTACCAAATTCCGTCATGTGAACCGTCAGCTTGTTTGCTATTGAATTATAAATATTATTATTTATATTATATAATTATTATATTATGCATTAGAGTTATAGTCCGTTCATCCATTGAGTATATAGTGTATATGTAATACATTAGACACATTGCATGTAAGAAATTATTATAGGACTGCAAATAATTTTTCATTGTGTTGTTAATTATCATCATGGCATGATTACATGATTCATATGTTCTATAATCGATTGTGAAAAAGGGTGTTTCTGTCTTGTCTGGTAAACAATAATAATAAATTAATATTTTATTAGCATTTTTTATCTGTTCTCTTTTAGTAATAAAAGAGAACAGATAAAAAAAACAGCATTTTAAAAGGATCTATTACTTTGCGTTACAAAAGGCAGTGTTGCCGCCAATATTTATTTAATAGTCTTTTCGTTTACTTATAATTTGAAATCGGTTATTTCTTTAACAATTTAAACCCCTTTAGATTAAAACAAATAATGCCATGATATTTTTTAATAGTTGAGATACCCGAATACGCGTTACCAACCTAAAGTGCTAGTGCTCCATATTCTATAAGGATTTGATATTTCGAGCCAATGATTCATTCAGCAAAAATTCATGATTCATAAATATATATATCATGGCAAATAAAAAAATATATCAGACATTATTAATTTATTTATTTCAGATCGCATCAGACAACGTGAGAGGTGCGCTTGGATCACTTTTCATTTTATCCCAAAACCTCGGTTACTTATTGGTATACATAGCTGGAGATCTACTCTCCTTCACTATGGTTATGTGGATTTGTACTGCAGTGCCACTACTACACCTCGTTACCTTCCTAGCGATGCCAGAAACACCAGTATTCCTTGTGAAACAAGGGAAACAACAGGTAAATACAGACTGATTTTTTATGTAATGGCAAATAATTTGAATGCCAAATATTAAGTGGAACATAAACAGTAACAAATAATCCATATAGGTTGCTATTCCGGAAAACTAAGGTATCATGATGACCCATACCCTGTAATTTTTGTCAACACAGTGCTTCACACCATAATACAACTTAACAAAGAAAACTAGTTAAGTAATTTTTTAGTTCATTTATCCTTTAGTAATTTATTTGTATTTGATTTTCAGAGGAGGCCACCAGATTTTATATTTTTATGATAGCAATACTGATTATGAATTATATAGTAAAATAGCATTATTTGCACACAAATTTGTAGAAATTATTCACATATATTTTTTTTAATTATTATTATTTCTCCGGATGTCTCCGGATTTTTTTTTTTTGGAATGGAAACATCTCTATAATTGTTCAATACCGTATAAGTTACACCAGTACTGAAATCATTATAAAGTAGACAATATCCGGCTAAAATAACAACCTAATAGATATAACATAATTAATAAAAAAATTCAAGCTTAGAAAAATACATTTCTTCCTCGAAACTGTACTTACATCCTTTCTTTGTAGCATTTCAATGCATTTAGTTGTATTACGATAATTTAAAAGGTTTCGTCCTCCCAAGTAGACCAGAAAATTTCTAATAGAGAACTTTTTAAAAAAAAACATGGATTCAGTTTTGTCATTACTTCTCGTAAAACTTTCTCTACGTAAAAGCAGTACTCACTCTAAAAACGTATTTTAATAAAAATGTGTATACAATAATTAAGTTTCGAGTCAGGTATACATCTATCAAAAGAGGTACATTATCACCCAAAACAATATTATCTTATCTGTACCCAAATAATATATTTTGACCCTTATGTGGCACGATTTATAATAGGGATTTCTTTTTAATTTTTTCGTTTTTCAAATGAAAATCAGATAACATATACTATTATAGTTATTATAATCTACAGTAAAAACGGTTAATTGTTTGTTCCAAAAAAATAAAAGAGCTTTACTGTAGAAATAATTGAAGTAACTATTGTTTCGGTATATTGGCGAGGTCAAGTAATACACGACACAGGAATACTGTTGACAATGATTAATAATAAAATATGTTTTTCTTTCTCATAACAACGTGGACACATTATTACAGTTTTTCTAGTCATCTGATTTGAAATAAAAACTCTATCTTTGTTACATTCCACGTTGACAAATGACATGGACCTTTTTTATACATTATTGAGATATAACTTTGTGTTGTTATCTACAATACTTCAATGCAATTCAGTACTTAATTATTATTAACTAGCTGTGCCCGCGGATTCATATATTTTAGCCTATTTGTTATTCTGATATATGATCTATATCACTATAAATATGATATATATCACTGTAAAGTTTTATCAAAATCCGTTTAGTAGTTTTTGTGTGAAAGAGTAACAAACATCCATCTATACTCCCATACTTTCGCTTTTATAATATCAGTAAGATTAATAATAAACAATAACTATAATGCTTACAATCATCAAATATAAGAAATATTGTAGCAGTCTGAGCAGCAGCAGATATAATAACTATACAATAACTCTGCTTCTGATAATGTTTGCTTGTGGGAGACTTTATACAAGTCAGCTACGTGGATATCTTTGTCCATCGTATTCAGAAATTCAGCATTGAAATATTCTTTATTTAACATCATCTAGCATCATCTATAATACACATCGCTGGCATGTCGAAATTAAAAAAAAAGTACTTTAAAGAAACTTGAATCCTCTGCAATGACAACTAATGAGTATAGCAAGTGTCAATAGCGACATCTCACGCATGTGACTCCCGTCGTACATGCTGCTCATTGAGGAATCCTGTACCACTCCCGTTACATTGAAAAATAAGTCAAATGAGTTCACATGACCTATTTGAATTGGCAGGAAGCGCGGGCAGCGCTGGCCTGGTTACGGAATACCACAGAAGATGACAAGAACCTAGAGGAGGCAGTACAGCAACTGGAGAGAGAGGAAGAATATTCCAGGTCCGTGAAGAAGAGCAGCTGGAAGGATTTGGGTACGTACATTAACATTATTTAATTAAAATACATTAAATGAAACATTAATTTCTGAGATTTTTTTTATTCACACAACGCCACCTAGACCCAAGATAAGCTAGCTAAGCTTATATTATGGGCACAAGATAACAATAAAAAAATACATAGATATTTTTTTCCGTAAATACATATATATTATACATAGAAAACACCCAGACCGATACTAACAATCATACTCATGAATACAAATATTTGTGCCGTGCGAGGAATCGTACCCGCGACCATCGGAAGACAAGCCGATGTCCTTTACCGCTAGACCACCTAGGCCGTCAAATATAATTATAATAATGTTATATATATTACTTTTAATTTAAAAATAACAGCAACCACAGAGCATTGATTGATAAATCTGTTTTTGTTTTCCAGTATTTACATACTGGCATATAATGATTTGAAATAAGATAAAACAAGAAACCTCTTACGAGTATGCACGATGCTCTCGCATGATTCAAACTCGACTTTAACGCCCTCCTAATACCTGGAATGTGCTTCGCAGTGGATATACGCAATTTTCTAAATTAGCTACAGTACAGATACAGTCAGCATGAAGATATGACATTAAAATATTATACTTCGCAAATATGTTCAAATTTTAAAGTTAAAACTCAAAGTTACCATTAGGGATACGTACGTATATATCCTTCTATTTGTAATAAAACATACGGAAAAAACACAAACAAAATAACATACGAAAGAAAAATAATGTATGTAACAAGAATAAATTGTTTCGTGATCAACACAAATGAAAACGTGACTGTATGGCTTACGTCTTTGCCTTTCCCCAAAAGGTAAAAAAGAAGCCACGAGTAAAAAAAATATTCACGCGATTAAATATTCATTGTCTTTTTAATAATATTGTTACACAAAGTATGGACAATTTTCAAAGTATACTACTACTATTATATAATAGTATAATTTAAAAGTCAAAATGAAAATCATTCATTCATAAAGGACTACTTTGTTTCTTAACAACCAGTTCTGAGTTGAGATGAACTGGCAAGAAACTCAACTAGTATATTTTTTTAATGTTTCATTTAAGACATTATTACTGGCCAGTTACTTACTTAATATGTTTACGAAACTGTATATACATAACATATATGAAACCGGATGATGGTTTCTCATATACAAAACTTGATGACGTAAGCACCGGCTTTGCAGCAAACACGGGATTACAAACCAAATAAATTTCTTTTAAGTCAGACCAGGTAGAAACTGGCTCTTCAAGAAGGATCCTTAAGGTCAACGACTTAAGAAATACTTAGCTAATTAATCATTCGTCCTGAAGGCACCCAACGAAGCTTGCATAATGCATTCGGATTTACCGTACTCTCCAAAAGTTAGTATCGTGTTTCATGCTGGCGGACGATTAATCAGTTTGTAAAGTTATTTTTAGCTTGCACTGGAAGTTTGTAATACAAATGAATATATTATTAGGTATATTTTTGAAGAAAACTACATACATACATCTTCATACATTTACATACAATTTTATATAAGTCCGTATCAAACCTAAAGAAACTTTATATATTACGAATGTAATCTCCTTCGAGTGGTGGATCTAGTGACAGTCTATATTTTTACATTTATACCTATATAATTAGTTTCTATATATCTTTTTTACACTATATTTGTTGTGCTACTATAAAAGCTAAATAAACAATTATTATATTATTATTTTGCTATATCAATATTATGAACTACTTAAACGATTTTCAATATATCTGTGGTACAATTAAAGTAAAAAATAATTAGGTTCAACGAATAAACGTAATATTCTTTGTATAGTTGGCTAAAAGCATAATGCTTATTAGGTATCTTCTTTTTAATATCATAATTACACTCTACCATGTTCTCTTATTATACACTATTGTGTTATATTATTAAAATTTCCGAACATTTCTATATAATGCCAATATATTGTCATCGTGACAAAGTTCTAAAATTACTCTTCTATAGTGCTTTCAACAACACTAATGAGTAATTCAATTATATTCATTGTTACAGTGAAAGACAAAACAATATTCAAAGCCTTCCGGATAGCAATCAACGTGATGCTGCTACAGGAGACCTGTGGCTACCTCGTTGTACTAACTTACGCCGGCTCGATCTTCGAACAGGCATCCGAGTCTATCAACTTAAAACTGAGTCCGAACAAGCAGACGATAGTCATAGGAGCAATACAATTGCTTGGGTCCATCGTCGCCAGCTGTATTGTGGAGCAAACTGGACGAAAGGTAAGTAGAAGTAATTATTTTATTGAAAACTAGTTTACAACCCGAACTTGAATCTTATTTTTTTGGCTATTGATTAAATATAATTAAGGAAAATGGGAGTTGAAATGTTGTATGCAGGTATTGACATTTTTAATGCTTGAAAGTTGAAAGTATTTTATTAGGCTGTGGATAAAATAAAATAAAAGGGTTGTAATGGGTTGTAAGGAGAGATGTAAAGTTGTGTGGAAGTATCGTCATTTTTAAACCTAGACGTTTGAAACTTATTTTTTAGGCTGTTGATTGAATTTTATAGAATTCTGTATGGAAATTTTCATTTTTGAAGTTGGAACAAATAAACTTTTTTATTTAGTTAGATTACTAAATATTTATTTTCATTATTTGGTCAAGGTCAATATTTTACGCGGTCGAAGTCGCGGGAACAGCTAGTCAAAAATAATTTTCTGAACAAAATAAAATTATATAAAAGCACGTATATTATAACTATATAGATAGTACGGATTTACATGAAGGCAGACAATATAGACAATATATTCTCTTTTCATATTCAAACATAGTTCGCCTGCCAGGTTCTAACACATCTTAACAACGCATGAATGATACTATAATATACCAATGATTTGTCCGATATAAAATAAATGTGTTAAGTAATTTTATCATTTCTATAATAGCTGATGAGACAGAAATTCTGCTTGGCATTATATAACGTTGTGTGAATAGTCCAAAGTTTAAAAAAAGTTAAATTGTCATTTGATTTGATTACAGTGGCTGTTGGCTAGTACATCGTTTGCGACCGGCCTGTCAATGCTGGGCCTCGGCGCGTGGTTCTACGTAACTTCCATGTCAGTGTGGTTGCCAGGCTGGTTGCCGGTGCTCGCTATGGGACTATGCATCTTCTCTGATGCGGCCGGCTACCAACCTGTACCATATGTGATTACTTCAGAATTGTTTTCATTTCAAGTGAGTATCTCGTTCATTACTTTATTCATTTATCTCAAATTTTTAACTTAATTCAAAAGAATGCAGGAGGTTTTGAAATGTATTTCTATATGTTACCTCAGAACTTTTACTTTATTTTGATTTTTTTTTATTATTTTAAAGTAGGTGGCGCGTGCTGTTCCATATAAATTTGATCAACATCTGATCAGTACTTTTTATACAGTTAGTTTTTGAGTTGTCTTTAACAACGCAAGTGAAGACAGTATTCACTTGGCCTGTATGTGTTCAGGTCAATTTTTTTTTGTGTAATACATATATAGTAATAGTTTAGATTTATTAATCGAATATAGAATAATCGAAATTGGAACAAAATAAAAAAATAATACCACGTTGTCATTGACTAGGACAGTTTTTTATGTTCTTTTAAATTACTGATAAATTTCTTTAGCTTAGCTTTTATTTATTAAATGATTGATGCAATCGCCTGTCTGACGTCATGCACTGGCGAGTCACCAATGATAACAGGATGAGTTTAAAGTTAGGTTGATTGTGGTACCACCACCATTCTCATGCACCTGGATTTAACCACGATGATTACAAGAGGGCTGCGTAGTAATGAAAACATTACTAACAATCCCTGAAGTATCTTCACAAAATTATTTACGTGGGTAAAGTGATGATTTTGTAAAATCTCCTACGGTAATAAATTTATTAGGGCATTTTGCCCCTTTTTGCATTTTGCCAAATAAATATTATATTTTATTTTTGCAGCATCGCGGTATGGCCACATCTATAATTACGTCATTCACAGCACTCAGTGACTTCCTTCAAACAAAAGCTTACGACCCTCTTCTAAAACTGCTCGGTATACATTGGGTATTCATGATGTTCTCAATTGTATGCTTCCTTGGTACATTTTACACGATAATGTGGGTACCAGAGACTAAAAATAGAAGTGTAGAGGAGATCTACGCACTTTTAGAAGACGGAAGAAAGAAGCAGAAGAACAGGGACGCAGAAGTAGCGAAAGAAGTTAGCAGATTATAAGTAATTACGCTTTGCTCAAAACTAGATATGTTTAGAAATTAGTCTTAATTATGACATGGTCTTGAATAATTGTGAGATTATCCTGATGGCTCTTATTTATATTGTGATAAAGTTTGATATCGTACTAAAAATGACGCGCCATATCATTCCTGAATGTGATATAAATAACGAATTACTTAATTTAGTATTATTGACAAAGGTATTAAAATTATATTTTTAAGAACACTCAACTTACTGTTGTTTTTATTTATTATTCCTGCTATTTTTTTATTACAATGAAAAAGCATATGGTTTATTTGAAGTTGCAATATCCTCAACAGCAGCACTACGTACATCATTTTAATGCTACCTTGTAAGTTAACTACTCTAGTAGCAGATAAACGGTGGAAATGAAATATTGGGAGGAATTTTTTTTTCGGACTACTCTAATGCTGTTGGCCACAGCTGGGTTTTACAGCTTCACCGGACGTTAGGGGGCGAGTGCAGATGGCACTCCAAACCAAACGCGGAAGGACTTATGGAGCGGCTGAAGGCCAGCTCCTGACGGATACGACTTTAGTCTGAGGGCACCACTAGGGGTTCGAACCTCGGCTCAGGCCGTCGTAATTTCGATCCCCGTTTGAATTGGACGGGGGATCGATCAGAGGGGGATGCGTCAGTGCACTCGTGAATGGTAAGTGACGTCAACTCATTAAATCTATACATATAAATAAAATTGGAATGTCTGTTTGTAATATTGAAATAACCATGTTTTACTATATGTATATGAATATAAATACGTGACATAGATCAAAACATTTTTTACTTTACTTAAAAATTTGTCTGTCTGTCTGTTTGTTCCGGCTAATCTCTGAAATGGCTGGACCGATTTTGACGAGGCTTTGTTGGCAGGTAGCTGATGTAATAAGGAGTATCTTAAGCTACTTAAATTTTTGAAAAATAAAGTGCAATTCCACGCGGACGAAGTCGCGGGAACAGCTAGTGCCTCATATTATTAGACGTAAATCTGATAAAAATGAACAAATGTAGTCTTGAAAAGTAGTCATAAGCGTGTGTATATCTGTCTCACGTATTTCAGCCGTCAAACAGATTGTTGTATAAGCTATATATATATTGGATGTATTAAGGCAGTGAAATTACAAGGTACGGAGGAATGACAAGATTTCTATAGATGTCCTATGATAACGTAGTACTATTCATGTACCATATATAAGCGATGGTCATTCCTTACAGTGGTAGAGTGGGTGGTCAGCTTGTTTGTCATTCCAATTTAATGTGTACCTACGAATTTACACCGTAATAAATAATACAAATTGATCTTTAAACCAGCCATACAAATAACTATAGAAATAGAAATCTATCTCTAATCATACAATCAAAAATGTTACTATCAAAAATAAAAAGTCATTATGACGACATGTTCTATTATAAATTAAATTATTAATATAATATATTAACTTATTTTGTTCAATAGTCAGAGAACGACAGTAAGGAAACACGCGCAATATTATTTTACCTATGCCCAACTCAGCAATATTTTAAGCAAAGAGTTTATAAGTTTAATTACCTGTAATATAAATATAAACAGTTGCCTAAAGCAACCACCTTTTTTAAAATATTGTGTGTAAAAAATTACACACAATATTTTGTTAAATATTTAAATTATTGATTTAATGTATTTTTTACACATAATTTATATAGTTTATATAAACTCTAAGTGTGTGAAACTTCATATTCTTCTACTTTAGTATGTTTTGTTCACGTATTAATATATAAATAACATCCTTGAATTGTATACGCTCTAACATTATATTATTCAGTACATATTAGGTAGGCGCCATATTTTCCACGGTTTTTGAAATTCCAAACGTGTTATTACAAACAGCGACCAAAGTTTACACAATTGGTTGAATGAATGTAAATTGTAATGTAATATGTAACTTGAAAGTGAAACACGATATAAAAACACTACAACCATTTATTATCAAAATGTTATAGTTCTTAACAATAGTTGTATATATTACTGATAAGGTTCAAGTATTGGTCGAACATTTCATGACAAAAGCTATGTTACTATATATTATATTATTAAACTTTTGTCTAATATATTTGAATTCCGCATCGCAATATTTCAATACAAATTCAAATGATGCGGTTGGTAAGTTTTTGAGAATACGAGAATAACAAAATTAAATACTTATAACCTAAAAATTATTCAGGATTACTTACCATATACATACATATACTGTCGATGTCTTGGTAAATTATTATAAAGTAGCGTTAATTTCTCTATGGGTAGTTTGATAGTTGTCTATAGGATTGTTTGATAAATTTTAGTACTTTTTCCAACACTAACACTATTCTGCAAATATTTGATTTAAGTATATTATTTGACTTCATTTCATCGTCGTCATACATCGCAATATGTATGACAATGTCATATATTATAAATAAAGGCAAAATGAAAACATTCATTGTTGTATAGAATCAGACGTAGATATTAACTTTTACTTTAGAAAAACTGGTGTACATGTTTGGTTTTGAATTATTCATTTCATAAACAAAAATGTATAAGTTTTGTCACCAGTTCTTCTAAATTACAACTAATAATTAGCCGAATAGAACAGCCACTTTCCCTAACTAACTATCCCTAAGTTCTAAGAAAATTTGGTATTCATAAGTGGCTGTAAAATGTCGTACATAATATTTTATGTCGTATAAATAATTTACATTTTATTTACATGTATTTTAAGTCAACTTCGAAGTGGACATGGAAGACTCGCCACAAATCCAAAGCAGACGTCATCGCAAGCCGAATTTTCGTGTACGTAACGATTACGCAGTCAACTTCGATGATAAGCAGAACCTACGGATACGCGGTGGTAACATAAGTGATACAACTAACTTCCCATACATGGCCGCCATTATCATAAACGGACGACTATGGTGTGCGGGGGCCATTGTGGATCTAAACTGGGTAGTGACGGCAGCTCATTGTCTCAACTAGTGAGTACATTCATCATACTTGAATAACGTGACGACATACTTTCAAGATAACTCCCGCTTTGCGGGGGCAAAAGTATCCCGCTGTTTTTTATAGTAGGTGGGAAACAAGCATACGGCCTATCTTATGGTACGGTTACCAGAGCCTATGGACGCCTGAAATACCAGGGATGGCAATTCCTCATTGCCGACTCTTAAGAAACCTTAATATACCCTTCTTGAAAAACCTCATGTAGTAGTAAATTATAAAATCATCAACTTCCAGTTTTTATCTCAAATCATTTCAGGTTGGTGCAATAAGTTTTAATATATTACTACGGGTTTCCGTTGTAATTATAATAATGTGATAAGAACATGAAAATAATTAAACGACTACACAAACTACCGTGTGTGGTTTAGGACACATCTAAATCCATTCACACTTTGACAACTTGATAATGTTCAAACTAAACTTTAATGAAGCATGGTCAAATAATAAAGAAAGTAATATTTATATTAACAACGAATTACGGCCCAATACAATTATTGTTAGAATTTTTGTCTTTTTGAATGATTGTCTGTACATATGTACGCGTTAATCTCATAACGGGTTAATCGATTTAGATGATAATGTGATATGATAAATAATGTATTATGTAAAGCTAAATTTAAAATTTTGTGAAAGATTCTTACTAATCAGTTTATAAATAAAAAGTTAAATAGTTAGAGAGTCGACTGCACCTAGTAGTTATAACGTTGTAGTGTCCTACATGTGTCTCCAATGAAGTCGCTTGGGAAATATGTGAAGATCCGCGTTGGCAGCACTCGACCACACGAAGGTGGTATCCTGGTGGATGTGGTCGGCGCGGTCAGACATCCCAAGTTCGAGGAAGAACCGGTCCCCCACGCGGACGTGGCTCTACTGAAGTTAGCTGAGAACTTGGAGTTCAGTAAATATGTGAACCTGATCAAAATCTACAACGGCATGAAGGAACCGTTTGCACAGAGCTTCATCGTGGTGTCAGGGTGGGGTGCGACGAGGGTAAGAATTAAAATGATAACTATTTTTTATGGATGATAATGGAAAGGTGGTTGGTAGGCTGTACGCTGGGCACCAGTGAAGGTCCCCATATCAATATATGAGGAGCATGGAGCGTGACGTCCTTTCATTAATTAAATTTAATTTAATATACCAGGAATTAACCGCGGTTATGTTTTGACATAGTACCTATATTGCTAGCAATAGTCCACTAGTTCCCATTACTAATGAACCCCCTTCCCCTATACATATCTTTCAAACTAAATTCGCGATTTGATATGAAAATCGTGCAAAATCCAATACGAGGTTTAGAAGCGGAGAAATAGACAAAACAAATCGCAACTTTACTTTGTACTATTTATGGACTTTGGACGAATTTTTATTACGAGTAAAAATAATATCTGTACAAATAAACATACTCAATTTTGCATATTTATAAATATTCATTTTATTGCGCAAGTTTATGTTACATATTAGTTTTTAGTGACTACATCAGATATACATGTGTATATAGAATAGGAAACATGGAAAAATCTCAGCCATTAAATGTGATTTATTTTCTCTTTATATATTCGTATCCTTGCGTTGCAAATATTCGACAGGCGTCGACCAGTCTGTGTGCTATGGAAAAAACTAAAATATTTATTTTAATGAATAATCAAATCAAATCAAACCAGTTTTGTTGAAAATTTACATAACGATTATGTGAAACCCAAGTGTAGTCCAACTGTTGGGCTTTGCATTAAAAACATCAATGAGACAGTTACGGCGTTTTATTTTTAGGTACCTTTTATTAAGTAGGTACCTATGTCTAATATTATTTAAATATTAACTTAGTTCAACTGCCCCTGACTTACTAATACACATAATATACATATAATGTAACCAGATCAATATGAATAATCATATTTATTATTGCTTATGCGATGCGGAAATTGAACCTGAGATCTTTTAAACACAAAGAATAGGGCTAAATCGTGTTCGCTAGTAAAAAGGAGTCAAGAAGTTCTATGATTTGTAGTATAGAGCTTAAAGAATTATGTTAAACCGTTTTTGCTAATTAAAAGGAGTCAGGAAACTCTATGATTCGTCGTCATGAAATGAGGTAGTTTCTTAATCTGTGAATCTTTAAATTATATATAAGTTGCTTAACCTACTTGAAGGGAAAAGAGGTAATGATGTAAAATGATTAATATTTAGGTATACATAATACAACATAACACACATCATATGTGTTCCGTATATGTATTAAAATAACCAAACAACTTACACCAGGGTTCAGATACCGCTTTCCGAGACCATACCCCGGACCTGCTAAGCGCTCGGTTGAAAGTCCGCACCAGACATTACTGTATCGATGCTTACCAACTGGTCAACGGATTCCAATTTACCGAAGACTTCTTCTGTGCATCACTGAGAAATGGTACCAGAGACGCCTGTCTGGTAAATATTATATTCTTTAGAAAGAAATTAAAGATCAATGTTCCGTTTTGTCCTCTTGGTCATTTGCGGTTTACGTAATATCTGCCTGTGATTATGTCTGTCTGTTTGTTACCGTTTTATGATAACTATCTGAAGGGATCGATATAAAATAATTGAAAATAAATTATATCACGAGCATGGTTATATGCTATATTTTAACTCAAAAAATACCTAATCTGGAAAAGAACGAAAGTTTTGCAGATAAAGTGTTAATAACCAATATTATTGAAAAAAACATTAAAAGAGAAAACATTTGTAACGAAATGAAATATATTCCATTATTTTGAGAATTATTGTTAACATAATAACATCGATAAATAATTTTTATTGATGCCAAAATTAAGGAAACGCCATACCAATCTCTAACATCATTTTATTTTTTTTGCATTTTGTTGCTATTAGTTCGATGCAGGCGCTCCAGCGGTACAACAGAATAGATTGATGGGCATTATGAGTTTTGGTCCTGAGCGCTGCGGACACGAATTCCAACCGGCTGTATTTGTCAAGGCATTTTATTTTAGGTAAATATGTGAATGTATAAATAGATGTAAGACAACATAGATACTAACTATTGCCACTCTCCAGCGGGATGGCTCTTTACTACATAAGTATTTTTTATAGGTTTCACTAAGTAATCAAATATTTAATAACTACTATAATTATGCATTATCTTTATCTGTACACCTACTTTACGTATAATAAAATCGTGACGAGGTAAAAACTATCGGTTTATGTATTTAGGTATCACCAAGGATAAGAAGTTTCATATAACAGCTGGAAGAATTACGCTGAAATTACAGAATATATTCTTAAAATAGAATAATATTTTTTTACAATTTACCACCTATAATTTTAATGATTAACTTATAAATAACGAAGTCACGTGCATAATGAAAACTGTAGTAGGGATAATAATAACTACACTGGACAATTTACACAACAATATCTAGTCCCAATCTATATTAGACAACTGATAGAAATAATTAAATAATTTTTTTTAGTAAATGCTTCTATAATATACGTAGAAAACACACAGACCAATCCAAACTATCATACTCATGAATAATGTTTGAAACGTGCGAGGAAATGAACCCACGACCATCGCTAGTATACGCTTGTAATGCGGCTAAACCCGTAGACTACCAAGGACTTGGTAACTATTTTATATAATATTTTGTAACGTTTCAACATTTTTCTTTGATTCAGGGACTTTGTGAAATCAACTATAGCATCGTACAAAACGACAGCTGATCTAATAGAAGCAATGGAAGAAGTGGAACCAGAACTAAATCCACAGGCAATAACACATCATCCCGATACTGAAGACAAAGCACCCAATGATTTACATGCCGGTGTTGGCGATGATGTCACAAGGCCCGATCATAGACATGATTAAAAAGTTGCGAAGACCATGGACAAGTTAATAAAAAAAAGGGTTAAATCAGAGGTTTCTACATTTATCTATATTCAAATTCAAAATATCTTTATTCATGTAGGTCTATTACAGTCTCTCATGATATGTCAAATGTATCGTCAGTTCGGAATGATTTCGAGATGAGAAGAACTGACAAGAAACTCAGTTCGTATTCTTTTCAAATAAATGTTATACATATTTACAATAATACAGATTCATTTTTAATTTCAAATTTGGGAGAATAGAGTGACCACCAGCATATGCTATTGCAAAGACAAATAGTCTAATCGGTGTTCGTAACCCAAACAGATATACATATGTATATATATAATTATGTAATTTATGTACCTAATGGGAATGGAAAACAAGCGAACTACCCTAATGGTAAGTGTCGCTTATATACATGAACAGCACCAGGGACATCACGTTATCATGTTCCGCAGGGCTAATATGTTATACGGTTATATTTTGTACCCCACCCAGATCTATTTATTATCTACAAAGACTACAACCTTAAGATGGTTTACATATGTAAATAACTGAATAAAATGGATTATATTTACTATAGAGAAATAAGTTTGTTCTGTAATGTAGAGCTGTTCTGTTCTGTAAGTTTGTTCTGTAATGTTGTAACTTGTAACCTTTATGTGTAGTGAAGATACAAATACAATTCTTATCTATAAGTAGATACTCTAGTAATAAGTATCACTTATCGACAATCTTTAATCTAACAAAAACAACCAAAATATACCTATTTACAAAACTAAACAATTTTTCTGATGGTATTACACTCTAAATATCTATATTATGTAATTGTACTATATATACTAATTCTTAATATTATAAACGCGGACGCGTATCTGTCTGTTTGTGGCCTAAATGACTAACGGATCTTAATGAATATAATAATAAATAGCTAATTATCTTTAAATAAATTCAAAACGTCTGTTAAATCATATTTATTGAGCAAAAGCCTAAATGATTATTTGAATGACAACCGTGCATCCATGGGATTTTCACATAATGTTAGATATAGACACCTAATACAAGATTCAAAGAAATTCAATTGAGTTTTTTGCCAGTTCTTCTCAATCGACTGTATACAGAATTAATTAATAATTCAAGAAATAGGCTACGTTCGTTTTCCGGCCAAATCAATACAAGAGAATTAATCATTTGACCCGTTTTCTTTCGAGTTATGATTAGTTCTAAATTTCGAATAATGTATTTTGGGTTGACATAAGAGTATAGCTATTTTTTGAGTAAATATATATAAAACTAACTGTACCCGCGACTTCATCTGCGTAGAATTTAACTTTATTTTAATAAAAAAAAAATGTTCTAAAATAAAAGGTGCTTAAGTTACTCTTTATTATATCAGCTACCTGCCAAAAAAGTCCCGTCAAAATCAGTCCAGCCATTTCAGAGATTAACCGGAACAAACCAAAAAATTGTAAAAAATATTATTTTGGTGTATGTACCGTATTTATATTCATATGCATGCATATGAATATAAATACGGTTATTTCTATATTACAAACAAACACTCCAATTTTAGTTATATGTATAGATAAGTCATTTTAATTAACTAAACGTACTTACTAACTCCAGGACATTTGTGATCAATTTAGCAGATACCTTCGTCAATTTTGTACCGATTTTGATGATTACTTTTACAATTTATTGGGTTTACTTCCCTGTAGATCTTATATACTAATCGATCAACCAATCTTAAAACATCAAACAAGAAATCAAAATATGATAAATTGTACACGTATTAAACACATATAACACATACACATTAGCTCAGTTTGACTTTATAATCCCATACAGGGTATTTTGACCGATTTTCGTATGCCAAAATCTTGAAAGATCTTATATTTGTAAGAGGATCCGTTGGTATCTATAATCGAAGGCGAATACTTTTTTCCGGAACTGAACCGTAAATTATAATTACAACAAATTATAGATTTTCTTGGAAATAAGGTCTAGGGGAAAACCTGTATATTAAGCTACAAGTTACCTACCATTTAAAATCAATAAAATTCTGCATAATAATATGATGAACTTTATGTTATAACAATAAAGTTTAAATTCCTCTAACTACAGTACCGATGCAAACTCAATATAATCAGTCAGTATGCGAACCAAAATAACTGTACATATTCGATATTTCATTTTTAAATGACATTAAACCCTACTGCCTTGAGATACGGACTTATAGATACGTGAGAAGTTCACATAATTAATGGCACTATTACGTGATGTTTAAAAAGCTATGAAGTTGTGTACATATGAGTGGCGTGCTTCATGTTGTACGTTTGCGAATTATATCGTACTGATACGGTATACGAGTACGTAGGTTATAAAACCTGCATGTTTTAGTGTGTCAGACATGACAATTCACACCGTACGCGTATATTAAAATGATAACGCGTATTAAATAAATAATTCACGTAAATTATGACATAAAAGTAAATCAAACATTTATCGCTTGGACACTGGCTTGGAAAATTAAAAAATATATAGTGTCTTTATTAATTCTAAATTCAAAAATATAAAATATAACCTATACGGCAGCGGTATTAGTTTTAATTTTCGTGCTAAGAAATCGAAGTATACAGTCATGGATGGTCGGCGGGAAAATGCAAGAAGTGCCCGGAAACAAATTTTTACTGCTTTACTAGGTGAGTGAAAGTGACATCATTGACCATTTAGTTAACCGACCTTTAAAAAGTAACCTATGTGAGTAAAACTAAAGGTTATGAAGTTCAAATGATTTAGTAGAACTAAATAAATAAATGGTGAACTTCCTTTCAACCTATCGATTATGGAGAGGGTATTGTTAATAATGAGGACAATTGGTTTGGCTTCATTACCAAGAATTTAGAGTCAAATTGAGTTACAAACGGTTTTCTTGGAAATCATCATCATAAATTTCTGTGTCAGAATTGTCTAATTGTAAGTAACCTTCATTCTTCATTCTTCACCTCTGCAACCAGTGTGTATAGTTTATGGGATCATATTATTAGATATTAGAAATGTCCACATATAACAAATTTAGTAATGGATTTTTTTTATTTTCACATGCAGTTCTGAACCAATAACTCACAACAGATTTCCAGAAGAAAGTTCTTTAATTAAACTATTACAGGCAGCTTGGCTAGTTGTACCTACTCTTTTATTTTACAACTAGCTACCCATCCTGACTTCGCATGGGTGTACATTTATTATTATATATATAAACCTTCCTCTTGAATCTCTCTATCAATTAAAAAAACTGCTTCAAAATCCGTTGCGTAGTTTTAAAGATTTTAGCATAGGGACGGCCAGCGACAGCGACTTTGTTTTATACTATGTAAGGATATATTTTGTTTTTATTTTTTTGTTCAGTTTTTAGATTAGTAGAGTGAAAAATCGAAAAAAGTGCAATCCAAGTTCTCTGTATGAATTTTAGTAAACAATAGTACTATTAAATAATAAAGTTACAGGATAAAAATTTGTCGATTAAACTAATTTACTACATTTTTTTTCTGAATAGGGGGATATGAAAACAAATATATTTAGAAAATAATTATGTGTAATAAATGTTATTTATATATTAACTTTAATGTTAATATATATAATTATTACCTCGTCAGAATAACAGGTTTATAATAAGAAGTTTAAACTGGAATAGCTAACGAGCTAACGTTAAGTGGCAACCGTCTTCTGTACATGAAATTCACTACGGTACATTACATCTTCATGTGCTTGATACCACTCATGTGTTGCCATTATGAAAAAACTGAAATGACATGGACCCTGGATCCTATAATTTCATGCTTATCTTATCTTTCGACTGAAACAGCTTATAAACCAAATGTCTTCATGGATACATCAGTTCAACTTTATCAGCTTTGTGTTTGCTAAAGGTGTTCCGATACACATGAAGACGATTACGTACAAAGGGGGAAAGTGATTGTTAGTAATGACTGATAACTCCATTGATAGTAATGTACCATGTCAGGTTGACCTCCACACGGTTTCCCCTGAATATCATCGTGAGAAATTAATGATGACTTTACCACGATGGGCTAACTGACCTGACCTCTTGCTCATCTTATGCTCCACTGGTGCCCCGCCAGCGTAAACTGTTAGCAGGCGGGTGCACCATTCCATTATCATCCATAATATTATGTACGATGTCTACCTCAGTTAAATAAATAAATGAAAAACATAGGTTTTAATATGCGAAATCTGGTCATTTCGAATGTTATATACACTAGAAATGAGAGTCTGCTTGCTTTTAACAATCCCATTGAATTACAATGGTACATATTGTTATCGTTTACAATAAAACAATATAATATCATCGCAATTTTAACAATATTGTTTGTTTCAATAATATAATAGAAAAACATGTCGCTTTTATATAACACATAAAACAAATAGTACATATGAATAATGCTGCAATAAAATGTCTGAACTAGAATGTGCACTTTCCCTGTGCTGTAGAGCAAAGCAAAATATTTTGATATATCATCCTAAAACACGCTCTGATGATGACTAGATAATTCATTTCGTAAGTAAGTAAGTCAATTTAGTAGTAGTAGTAGTAGTAGTAGTAGTAGTAGTAGTTCGCCATATGTACATTTATATATTGTATTTGTGCATTAAAGTTTAAATAAATAAATATATACATAACAATAAAGCCCCAGTGACAGTAGTAGGCTGCACTGTAATAAAAATGTCTTTTTTCAGTAGGCATGCAAATTTTATTAATAAACCTAATAATTACATATATTAATATGTACATTATAACAATTAGATTAATATTACATATTTAAAATTATAGATTATTAACATTATTACAATTATTATTACTTTATTTTTATTTATAATATCAAATTGTATCCACCAAAGTAAACACTACACCATATTCCCGACCCTATTGTAGGCACCGTAATTTTTTTTATGGATTATAGTGGAATGGTGCACCGTCTGCGCTAATGGTTTACGTTGGCAGGGCACGAGTGATAAAATGAGCATGAGGTCAGGTCAGTTAGCCCATCGTAACCGATTTATAACGATGGTTTCCAAGGGGAACCGCGTGGTAACCTGACATGGTACATTGCTGGCAATAAGATCATCTGTCCACATTACTTTCCCTGATCATCTGTCCCTTTCCTCCAGGCGCCGTAATTATAACTGAAAAAAAAAACTAGTTATTTTAATAAAAATCAAAGAGCTGAAAAGATTATTCTGGAAAATCTGTTAAAAAATAAAATTGCCTTGAATTTGATGTTAAGTCATGATTAAAGATTTTTCCTAAATTTATCCCTACCTGAGACTGTCAATTAAAGAAATCCCGGCCCCTAAATTTATGAAAACAATAACGTAACATAGATTTTATAAACTTCTAACATTTATTATGAAAATAATAAAGTTTATATAGTCCAATAAAATTTTAAATTAAACTAGGTATGATGTGACCAGTTTTGGGGCAATATATAAAAATAAGTCCACGTGAATTGCGATATTATTGATGACATATGATTACGATGCAACGCTTTTTGTGCCTATTCGAAATAATATTTTTTATATATTTTATAATTTCTGTATTGATTTAACATTGTCCTATTTTTCATCATAATGTTTGATTGCAGTACACAGATACTTACACTTAAAAATGTTAATGAAGCATAGGAAATACATGGATTTTTTACCGAATATTAATCCAGCCATACATCCTCATAGACTTTCTCATTATAATATTGGTAAAATACAATATAGGTGGGATGTTTACTACAACAATAACGATAGGTGTATTGTATGTATGTACGATGTAATACAAATATAATGTCACAAATTACTAACCTTGTAAGAACCATCTGTTAATACTACCAACAAAACTTGTATATATTTGGCAAATATAAACTCAATACTTTTTCCATTGTATATTGTAAGGAAAATGCCAGAATTGAAATTACAAACAAAGGAACAACAGTGGAAGAACAAAGTCAAATGTTTACCAAACGGCGGTCTAAACTGAAAACTCGAAACATCTTGTGCTCTCCTTGAACTGTTTTATGAACTTTGTTTGATTTTCAACTAAAAAGAAGACTCACTGAATGACAAACGTGCATGGCAATAGTTGTTCATGTACCGGTTTTTCATTTAATCTCAAACATAGGCACCTATGACGAAACGCTACTACACACCCTATGTGGTTGTAGCCCACTCCTGGCACTCATGCATAAACGAAATATCTGTGTATTACTAGTGTATACTCTTTCCCGAGGAGATAAATACCATCGCTCCTAAGTATATCTTTCAATTTTTGTCCCTGATATGTCTAGGCAACGAATTCTGAAAAAGGGCGAGCACAATAGATCTATGTAGATCGCAGTTCTACAGGTACTACAGGTACAGGACAATAGTCTAAACAAACAAATAAAAAAAAATAGGCACCATTAGTACACAATGTTAATAAACTGGCTTATACGATTGAGTTTCTTGCCAGTTCATTTCAATTGAATCTGCAATACATAATGTCAAATTTTTGTATTATATCTTTTTCCCTACCGTTCTTTTCAGTATGCAGATTCAATTGAGCAGAATTAACAAGAAACTGAATAACTGAATTTCTTTTAATGCTTCATGTTAATTATCACCAAAGTCAAATGAAACATGTTGAAGGTACCTAGAAATAAATACCATCAGATGCGCAAACAAACATACTTATTTCTTACCATCCTACTCATAAAAAAAAGACCTGAAAATAATGTAGTGTAATATTTCTTCTCATTCTTTCATTTTTTTATTTCAAATTAAATGATGAAACTTGTTAGGTAATTTTTAACATCCTATTTTTATTTCCTCTACCTAAACGTTGTTTGGAAGAAATTACTATAATCAATCTGTAATTAATTACTCTACTCCTTGTTATTCATCATCAACATCATCATCTCAGCCCGGAAGACGTCCACTGGTGAACAAAGGCCTCCCCCAAAGATCTCCACGACGATCGGTCCTGCACTGCTCGCGTCCAATACCTTCCAGCGATCTTGACTAGATCATCGGTCCACGTCGTCCCTGTTAATTACGTCTGGTTTAATCTATACATCTATACATATAAATAAAATTGCAGTGTCTGTTTGTAATATTGAAATAACCGTTTTATACTACATGCATATGAATGTAAATACGATACATACACCAAATTGTCTGTGTGTCTGTCTGTTTGATCCAGATAATCTCTGAAATGGCTGAGCCGATTTTGACGGAACTTTTTTTGGCAGGTAGCTGTTGTTATAAGGAATACTTAGGAAACTTTTATTTTAGAAAAATAAAGTTAAATTCCACGCGGAATCGTGGGTTCAGCTAGTATAGAATATAATACCTTAGGGCCGATATCCCATACCGATTAAAGTAACGCATTGTAAAGCATCGATATTGTGGTGAATATAACATTTGACACACCACATTTCGCTCGGCATATTTGAATCCAACGTAACAGGAACTGAAGTTAACTCTGTCCATATAATTATTTTTAATCTAATATTGGTATTTCCATTGTTGGAGTTAGTCAAAAATGTAAACTGACTTATTTTTGGCGTCAGCTCGATTTGATATGACGTAACACACATGGCACGAAGCTCTTGTTTTAATAAATAAATATTCTAATAAGTAACATAAAGTCGTGCAATTATTTATGTTATTAATATCTTGTTTCAGCTACAATACCTACCTTCACGTATGGCATACAAATCGGCTGGCTCTCGCCAATGGGCCCCCTCCTAAAGTCTGCTGACACACCAGCTCTAGTACCATTCACGGACAACGCCATCTCGTGGATGGCGGCGGCATTACCACTGGCGGCCATTTGTGGAATACCCTTCTTCAGTTATGCCTCAGATAGATTTGGAAGAAAAATTTGTATAATTGGAGTTTCTTTCCTGTCTTGTGTAAGTAGAATTTAAAATTCCGAATAATTTACAATCGTGTCGGTCTAGCGGTTTTACTCTCACCGTGTCTGTCTGTTTGTTCCGGCTAATCTCTAAAATGGCTCGACCGATTTTGATGGGACTTTTATTGGTAGGTAGCTGATGTAATAAAGAGTAACTTAGGCTACATTTATTTTACAAAAATAAAGTTAAATTCCACGCGGACGAAGTCGCGGTTACTAGTTGTAAATAAAATCATTAAGATGAATACAGTGGATCATTTTAAGGATGTTAATGGCAATCCTGAATATTCCAATTCTAATTGAGGTAACACCAGTCCAGTCACTTAACAATTCACAGAGTAATTAAACACATTATTTGTTGATAAAAGTTAACCTAACGAAAAAGACACAAATAATCACTTGTTAGGTACAAGTGAAGTGATTACGCTTGACGTGACTAACTTGCTGGCACCTCTATTTGTTACCTAAATCTTTGGCGTACTAATCGAGTTTAATATTAAACGAATTTACCCGTTTATTCATATTTTTTTAATTATGCAAAACTGAACGCAACATGGCCTTGCGTATGTCATTATATAGTGTCTGAAACCAAATCCAACAAACCAAAGGTTATCTTCGTGAGAAAACAAACACTGAAACGCGTTTTTTTATAACTGCGATACAATCTAAGTCGACTACTCGACTAATATCTTAATTTAATCTCTCACAATTTTTAAAGATAAACTTTCTTCAAAGTCGGCTCACCTATTTTGCCGCCAAACTGCCTGCTTGGCGGTTGATATATGTAAGTAATAAAAAAAGATATCTCTTTTTTTATATCAATTTAATTTACAAGCCAATACCTCTGGACAATACAAAACTACGTCATCTGATCCTGAAGTAAGCAGAGCTTATGTTATGGGTACTATACAACTGATATAAATACATAGTTCCTTTTTTTTATAGGTTACGGTAACCATTTACAATCAGATGGGCCGTATGCTTTTTTGTCACTTTTGAGGTATAAAAAGAACTTTGTAAAGCTATAATTTTAAACTAATAAAATTTGTACCCTTTTATGAATGACTAGTGGCGCCAACTTCGTAGTATATTAATTGTTTTTTTTTTTAAATTGTAATCCAAGGTGTACTGTACCGTCTTATTACACCTTTTAGTAAGAACTTACAACTGCGTCCGCGTGGAAAAACTTGTTTTTCTAAAATAAAAGTAGCCGTATTTATGTTAATATGCATGTAAAAAAGTAAAAAATCGGTCCAGCCATATTACAATAAAGAGACAGACAGACGAAAATAGTAAAAAAAATATTTTGGTGTATGTACCGTATTTATATTCATATGCATGTAGTAAAAAACGGTTATTACAATATTACAAACAGACAATCCAATTTTATTTATACGTATATGTACATTACTAAGTATTAAAGTATTAGTAAGAATTACTAGATTTTCTAGTAATAATAATAGTGTATGTTACTCAGAGATGATATAGGAATCTAACGGTGAAATATTTTGTTAAATCTATTTAGTACTATTCTATTTTATTCGGCACAGATATACAAAAATACATCTTATATATAAAATTCTCGTGTCACAGTTTTCGTTTATCCTCCGAAACGGAACAAATGAAACTGTGAGCGTATTGAGTAGGTCTTTTCTATTTTCAATTCTTATAATTTTTTTTTTTATAGTTTATAGTTTTTTAAATTAGTGATTATTGCGAAACAAATGAAACTCTTTCTTTTCTTCTTTCAATTCTTATAATTTATAGTTTAAAATGTACCTTCAAAGTGTGTTATGTAATTACCTAACAAACTTACTCATTTACCTACTCGAGGTATTATTTTAAAGTGTCATTATCAGCTAAGATGTAGATGAACTATGTATTTAAATATAATAATATACAAATACATAGCTTTTATAGCAGTTCTTAATTGAGATGATAACATAATCAGGTAATCACAGCAAAATATTACTCCACATTATTATATACAATTACATAGATTAGTTATGTTGTATATATAATATTATATGACATTGCTTGTTATTGAAATGTAACTTTGTTACGGAGGTACGAGTAACTTAAACCTTATCTATACATGCAATAAAGCCGAAAGATGGTGTGAGCATGCTAATCACTGCAACAAATAGTCTGGTCTAAAAATATTTTTACTTATTATAAACCAATGTTTGATGAAGGTATTGCATAAGCTACTTAACATTATATATGCTATTCAACCATTAGTGACCTGAGTGAAAAGATAAAATTAGAAATGCTAAGCGAAAAACCTTGTTGGTAATTCCAGTTATTAAAAAATAAACTATGGGCTTTTTGGGCTGCAGCCAAGGGCCCCATGGATGCAAAGGGCCCCCAGCCCCCACTGAAAACAATAGGCGATATTTAGATTAAAAAAAATACTAAAATATTAAGAAACCTATCATAAGGTTGACAAACCCTGAGAACCATTAACCTATAGATGTGCATCTATCGAACGGAACAGGGAATTCCACGTCACTTGTTTTTGGTCGGTGTATTTTTTTAGTTGAGTATAATTAGGTAGGGCCCTAAGTAGTTTTAGCCCAGGACCCCACAAATTCACGATCCGCCTCTGCCAATATCCGTCTAAATATTAACTCAATATACAGATTCACTTAAGTACACTTTATAGAAAGTCCTGTGCGTGGGTACCTACTTCAGCGACCTCCCTTGTAAGCTATGTTTCAGTTAATGGGTGACATAATGCAATGAAATTATAGAATATGGAGGCGTGAGGCCATGTCATCTGAGTTCTCCGTAATAGAAACGCATTAGAGGTGTCACGTGCATCACATGATAACGTGATGTCCGTAGTAGCACTAAGGACATCATGTAGGTATATAGGCGATGATTACTTACCATCAGGTAGGCCGGTAATTCGTTTGACAATCCACATACATGAAAATGGATTAACTGACAATGTCCAGAAATAGAAATCATTTATTCAAATAAACTTATATTGAAACACTGTTGAATAGTCGTCACGTTTTTTTTTTCAATCTACATGACATACAGAAAGCTGCCTCACAAAAAAAATGGGCAAGAAACTTTCGTGTTGCTCTTTTAAATAATTTAGTTGTTACTTTACATTTTTAAGAGTCGTGTTTGAATACAACCTACCAACTAGCACGAATTTAATTAAATACACAAATAGAGAAAGTCCTTACTAATATCATAAATGCGAAAGTAACTCTGTCTGTCTGTCTGTCTCGCTTTCAAGTCGAAACCACTGAACAGATTTAAATGAAATTTGGTACACAGATAGTCTAGATCCTGACAAAGGACATGGGCTACTTTTTAATGCAAAACAAGGGTTGCAAGGGGTTGAAAGGTTATATGGAAGTATCGTCATTTTACGCGGACGAAGTCGCGGGCGCAGTTAGTATATACAACAAACTGGTTGAATCTCTAAGAGGAAATCAGTCGTAGTGATTAGAGCAGACCAGTCCTTTGAGCAGCACTCGTTCACGAGTATGACGGATGAGACAGCCATCACTGCGCTATATTTAGGGAGCCCAATGACCCGTCCTATAAAAAATATTTTTCCTAGAAATAAGTCTTATTATACTATGTGGTTGTAGCCCACTCATGCTTAAACGAAACACTTTCCATGAGGAGATAATCACTATCGCTCCTAAGAATATCCTTCAATTCTTGTCCCTGACGGGTCTAGATAGCGAACTCTGAAAAAGGGCGAGCACAATAAGTCTAGATGTAGGTCGCAATGCTACAAGTCCATGCACCAGACAATAACCCAAACAACCAAATAAAAATTGTCTTATACTCCTTGTCTTGTTACAGATATCCTGGACCATAAAGCTTACCTTAATTACGCCAACTGCTCTGACCACCGCTAGAGTGATAGCTGGGCTCGCTTCCAGCGGCTGTTTCGTGGTAGTCCCAGTTTATGTGAAGGAAATATCGCAAGACTCGCTGAGGGGAGCGCTTGCGTCGCTGACTATGACCGTGTGCAAGCTGGGAGTGATATTCGTGTACGCAGTTGGCATGTCAGTGTCCTATAAAGCCAATCAAGCGATTTATTTAGCGATTGCTGCATGCCATGTGATATTGTTTTGTTTTATGCCTGAATCACCTAATTATTTACTCAAGATCGACAATGAAGCGGTGCGTGTCTTTTTTTTTGTCGATTATAATGGTATGATGCACCCGATTGCGCTAACATTGGCAAGGCACCAGTGGAGGATGATAGCATGAGCATTAAGTCACGTCAGTCAGCCCGGCGCAGATTCACCAGGAATTAACCGCGATAATTTCTAAGGGGAGGCTATTCTAAAAGAATAAATTGCTATAGCAAGTAATGCGGATAATAACCCCCATTACTAACTATCCCTTCCCCTTTCTTCTATAACTTTATGTTAACTTAGACAAAACGAACAAGTACAATTATATTAGCTGTTTTTACTAATATTATAAACGCGGAAGTTTGTCAGTGTGGATGGATGGATATTTGTTACTCTTTCACGCAAAAACTACGGAATGGAGTTTATTGTAACTTTACAATAATATAGCTTATACATTAAAATAAGACATAGGCTGTAAATTTCACACGATTGAAACTGTGAACACAGCTAGCTTTTATATTATATATAGCTTTTGATAGTATACTCGTCTGTGCGAACGCTACATGCTGGTGGGGCATCAGTGGAAGAAATAGAAATAGAAATAGAAATAATCTTTATTCAAATAAACTCATTACAAGCACTTTTGAATAGTCATATTTTGATTCTACCACTCATTCGGAATGCAGATTCATCACAAGAAGAATGAGCAAGAAACTTGTGTGTTGCTCTTTTTGATGATGATAAGATGAACATGAAATCAGCTCAGTAAGTCCATGGTGGCTAATTCACAGGAAATTAATGTTAGTAATGGTATTTATAATCCCCATGCCCCCAGATGAGACAGTGGCACCCTAAGTTTGATACCTTTATACGGAGAGCTCGCATTTTCAGAAAGCTGCCAAAACAATATGCTGGTTGCGCAGCATGAGTAGAACCAACAAGGTTGTCGTCGAAGAATTATCCAAATTGAAAACTGAGCAATGTATTTACGAAGCCATGCCCAGGGTGACTGTCATGAGTGTTAGTAAGTATTGATTTTATTTGGCTGGAGGCTATTTTATTATTTAAACATTTAGCTTTCGCCAAGAAATATATTTTTAGACTGTATTATATTTTTTAAACTTATGTGTATTTTTACAAGTGAAGTCAAAACGATACACAACTTATATATTCATACATACATAGGTACATACCTACACAAAACATCGAGCGTAAATGGTAAAAAGAAGCATTCATACAAGACCAAAATGAATTATGTCACAGTTAATTTTTTTATTAAAGAGTGCAGAATATTTGTACACATAATGTAAACGTGATATTTAGGTATCATCATTTAATTAAGAATTTCCGATATTTCGACTCTGTTACAAACGTCCTCGCGTGACCAAGATGGCGGAGGATGTAAACAATTATTATGAGCAAACAAATATATCTACCCGCATTTTTAGTGCTTACCTACACAGTCCAGTCCTACCACTACTAGTAAAAACACGACAAAACACACTCATTGTTTCACTTCGACTTCTAAAGCATATCTAAGTTTATACTTATGAAATATGTACAATATACCTAACACTAGATTCCATGTGGTGAACAACTTGAAATAGACTTCCGTATAGATATCGTATTCATGGTAAATATGCCGTTACTATAATGTGTAAACAATCGTGAAAGAAGTTTTAAAAGAGCCAATATTAATTTTTATACTAATGCATTAAATATATTAATTAAATTAATAAGAAACATTACATATATTATCATGTATTTAACAGACTCACACTCGTACATGTACCATACTCCTTTACATAGTCATTGAATTTACCTTAATAAAAAAAATTACACAGTTAAACTTAAATTTAAATGAATTAAAGTCGAATTTCGTTCATCGGGACATCATTAGTAAATATAATTACATGAAATTAGCAGTAATTTTCCTGCCCACTTCCTCATGATGAGAATTATCATTAGTTCTTATTTGATTTATAATTGTGTTAATAGACCTATATGAATAAACATGATATAAATATACAAATATATCAACTCTAATTATAATTTGGTATAAATACTTTTTGTATTTAATATTACTTCCAATTGAATATTATTTGTTAATTGTGCAGTTAGAGATAAAGCAACGTTTTCCGCGCTGCGAGTGACCCTGGTCCTGATGGGGATGCAGACCCTATCTGGGTGTTTCGCCCTTATGAACTATGCAGCGGACGTGTTCCGGCGAGCAGGCACAGAGTGGAGCCCTAACACGCTAGCCCTTTTTATGGGCTCCTTGCAACTAGCTGGATCCTTTTTTACAACTATGTCTATTGAGAAATTTGGAAGGAAGGTACATATATATACGTACTAGGTATGATGTCTTTATTTTGTATGGATAAGGATGGAATGATATATCCGCCTGCGCTAACGCTGGCGATGAAACTGTACCTTTGTGCGCGCTAATACAGAAATAATATAATATTAATAATAGCTTAATTTCAGCATAGTTTTCAATAATGTACTTCAGTTAAAAATTTATGTTTGTGTTATTCCAATTCAAACCATAAAAGTTATACAGATACGAAGTTGCAGCTCAGCTAGTGTTGCAATATAAATAATAATATCCCTAGACAATTTACACAACGCCATCTAGCGCCAAGCAAAGCAGAGCTCGTTAAGCTGAGACACCAGACAACTCATATAAATACATAGATGTATCTTCTTTTTAGTACATGCATATTATACATAGAAAACAACCATATACAAACATTATAAGTATAGTAACTTATGTCTACAAATGTTTGTACCGTGCGAGAAATCGAACCCGCGACCATCTGATTACTGAAGATCGGTGTGCTAACCCGCTAGATCATGGAGGCCGTCAAAATTTTACGTCATATATAATTTTCTTGTAAGTTATCACGTAAAAATATAAGCCGCTATTGTACAAAATGATGACTTCATAATAATAAAGATGCACAACTGTGTTTGTAGGTTCGATATATTCTCATTGATATGCCGAACGTGTATTGAACAAAAATGTTTTATTAATCAGATATAGTCAGTCCTATATTACAATCGTAACTTCATTATCAAGTAAATTCAATGGTAAAATACCGTCTTATCCCTATTCTCCGATCCTCGTCCAATCAAACGGGGATCAAAATTACTACAGCCTAAGCCGAGGTTCGAACCCCTAGCGGTGTCCTCAGACTAAAGTTGGCCGTCAGCCGCTCTATAAGTCCTTCTGCGGGTTTGGAGTGCCATCTGCACTCGCCTTATATGGTCCGGTGAAGCTGAAAAACCAACTGCATTAGAGTAGTCCGAAAAAAAAAACAAATTAATAAATATTTTTTCTTTCTTCTGATGTGACAACTCGAGTTGTGCTGAATTCGAGTTAACTCGAGTTGAATTCTCTCGACTCGAGTTGGGACAATTCAACCGGTAAATGATCGATCTTAAAAGGAAATCCCTTGTTTGCATTTTCGAATCGCCAGTGAGTGGACGTGTAAAATGTAAGAAATGCTCAGATTAATTTCACTTCATTCACTCAAATAGGAAAAGTTCACCTGCAGCCATGCATGCGCTCCATAAGTCCTGCCGCGGGTTTGAAGTGCCACTTCCCATGCTCGCCCCCTATATGGTTCCGCGAAGCTGCCAGCTGCGGCCAACATTTTTTCACAATTTTTCTAATTTCGAAAAACTTTTCTTTCAAACTGAATTTCAACTCGAGTTAACTCGAGTCATGTCTATTACGAGTTAGCACATCTCTACTCTAGTGAGAACAATCTATAATCATGCTAGTGATGTATTCTTACAACAATATTTGTGTTTATAGTTGTAATATTGTTTTTCAGCTACCCCTAGCTTGTAGTTCACTATTGGTGTCCATCTGCATGGCCACGCTGGCGACCTACTTCCTGCTTGGTAGCGAGTCAGTACGATGGTTACCTGTTACGGCCGTCTGCGTCTGTATCCTGGCATACGGCGCTGGATTAGCACCTGTCCCAATGGTGGTTATGGCAGAAGTATTCACATTCCAGGTTAGTCTTCTAAATTCTATACAGATAACATTAGTACAGATAGAATAGAAATGATCTTTGTACAACTTATGTAGGTTGTACAAATGGGCATGTAGGCTTAAAAATGTTCATGAAACTGTTTTACAACTTCCCATGTTTAAACTTAAGGACAACTTTATGGTTCCATTCTATGTAACATTTAGTGAGTTTAACTTTCTGAAGAATAGGCTGCGTCACTGACAAGCTGGACATGTTAACATTGCTACCTACAAAACATTAATGGTTTTTTTAAATTTCGTATTGTACTTATATTGAATTTTATATTTTAAAGAATAATAATTTAAAATGGCTTAAAAAATGTACAATCGTGACGTAGCGGTCAACGATCTTTACTCGAGCATTGATTTTAATTTGGTAACTACTTTTTGAACGTAGTTTTGCGTTAGAGCATTATGTCTTTTACTATACTCTTTTACTTTTGACGACCTCGGTGGTCTAGCACACCGCTTTACGTCCGATGGTCGCGGGTTCGATTCCTCGCACGGCACAAACATTTGTATTCATGAGTATGATTGTTTGTATTGGTCTGGGTGTTTTCGTTACGAATAAAAAAAATCTATGTACTTGTATCAGTTATCTAGTACCCGTAACACAAGCTTTAGATAGCTTAACTTGGGACTAGATGGCGCTGTGTGAATTGTTCTGAGATTATTATTAATATTATTATTATTCCTATAGTAGTGATCCCTTATGGACTCTAATAATCTTAAATTCGAATATTAATACTGAATAACTTTGCTACCGGATTTATTTTTATTTTTATTTACAAAATACCTCAGTCAAATATGAACATGACATGTGTTGAGTTCAACACTAAGTCGATTAATGATAATACTTCTAATCAGGGACATTATGGATATGAAATTTCGGATACGGATAAACTTCGAATATAGAAATGATTAATATACCGGATACGGATGCGAATATGAAATTAATTTAGATCATCCGTTAGTTTCGGATAAATTCAGTTACGGATATTAATTGTTTAAGGAATTAAAAAATAGGTAATAACGTGTCCGATCTGAAACTTTTATTTCGGATTCGGTTACGGTTACGGAGCATCCCTACTTCTAATTATGACATCTGGTAATACAGTCGTCTAGAATTAAACATATGCTCTATAATATTAAACTAATCAATATTAACAGGTGTAAATCACATGTAGTTTATATGTTTAGATCATAGATTATTTTGTATTTCATGTTATTCCAGATGCGCGCACGCATGGCGGGTGCTTCTATGGCCTTCTCATTCTTCTGTAGCTCCATGACGGTTCTATTTTACACCCCAGTGGCTAACCAGTTTGGGGAATATGTGGTGTTCTACACTTTTGCAACTGTAACTCTACTAGGCGTGTTTTACACGGTGTTCTGTGTGCCAGAAACGAAAGGCAAGAGTCTAGACGAGATACAGAGTTATTGGAAGAAGCCGGAAACTGTTTTTGTATGACGAATATATGACGTCCATTGTCGCGGAAAAAGACATTGTTTTTGTTATGTAATTGTGAGTTTGTTAATGCCGTTATGAGAGGAAGAGTATGGTTAATGTAGAATTATTTCTTTTAATTTTATTCACATATAAATATATATTTTCTACTTGTAAGAAGTGTATCTTACGTGACTCATCAGAATTGGTAACAAAGCAATAAATAAATAGATAAGTACATTTAATGTAACAGGATATTTACCGTAATTTATTTTGTGAGCTCCAGATATTTCGAGGGTATTACAAGTGAGGTAGATGTAAACAATTATTACTGACAGATCTACCTATTCACCATATATCAACACACTTTCTTAGTCTTTCTACGTAGTTATTATCACAAAAATATATAGTCAAGAAAATACACATACATATTTAAAAATCAAAGTCCCAAGTCACGTCCACACTGACGCGATAATCTAATGAACAACTGAATCGTTTTATCATGCGGTTTTTATACATCTTTTTTGTATAAATTAATTTAGATACCCACGCGAAGCCGGCCACAGTCCCTTATAAGATCTTACAGATATAAACCTATATATATAATTACGGTAAACATTTCGTTACAAAACAATCGTAAATAACCATGAAAAAAGTCTATATCTAATAAAAAAAACTATTTATTTATTTATAATGTCAGGTATAGGTGTTTTTATTATTTTAAGTTAGCTGAATATATTTATGAATTAGTGCGTAACACTTCGAGTAGTACAAACAACGCCAGCTACTAATACCAAATGAGAAATTGCTTTAAAAATATATGAAGTGTATGTATACTCGTATCTAGACATACATTTGTTGATTATAGTTCTTATTTAGAAATAATAAGTAGAAATTTTAAACCTCGAATTAAAAAGAAACTAATTATATTGCAGCCAAGAACTATCTCGATTACGCCAGTAATCAAACAATATTTTGTTACATTCGTTGTATTAAACATAAATATATTGTGATGTATCAAATAAGTCTTAGACTGTTTAAAATGCATTTTATAAGCTACGTCCATAGACGAAAAAGACTTTAATTGTTATTATTTGTATAAGGCTTATACTTGCGCAAAAACATGACTAAGGTGCATCCTAGAAATCCAATTTGCATATAACACAAACAAAAATTAAGAAATATAAACTTCAAATCTTTCTTCTAAAAACTTTTTATTTATTTACCACAGTTTAGTTATAAGCGCGCATTCAGAGACAATGTCGAAATGCATCTGACCTTGAGTGTGCGTAATCTGCTGAGATGGAATTTAAATTCCAGGGTACAGAGACACGACAGCTTAGTCCTTAGAAATGGCAAGTCAAGAGGTGCCATTCATGTACGCAGGGTTAGTCATCAAGACAGTCAAAATCCAACTAGAAATCCATATAGAATGTTCGTAACGGAACCACTTTCATTAAGAGCCAAATTTAAAATCTGTAAGCAAAGATTTCTTCATACTAAATTGATATTACGGCCATGTAGTTAGCATTAAGATTTAAAATGATTATAGAATTAGAAAACAAAAAATAATAAGTAATGCAGTATTAGTGATATACAAGTAAAAAAAAAATGTACAGCCAGTGTCCAGATGAGTTGGAGCCGGGTCACAGGAGTTCACTGCATCTCTAATTATTTTTATGACATAAGAACTCATTGTGCGCCTGCAGATGTTGGATAAATGCGCGTCGTATATGACTGTAATTAGTGTACAATAAAAAACTTGATTTAATTGTGTTTATTATTTTATTTTAATACATAACTACAGAGAATCATCACTGCAACGTGCGATCGTGTCGCGCGTCGTTTTACAGACACTTTTTGGTACACTTAAAATAAACTTGAAATCAGCCAGCATTTAAACAAAACTGTGCAAAAGGGACAGACATAAACAATATATAGTGAACATTAGTTTTAGCAACAAATTGCAGACATATGTAATGTACATTCAAATTACCATAGCATATATAACGTTGGTATTTTGAAATTAACATTATTCTATTACGGACTTTCCAACGCGAAGTAAAATTATATTATTGTTTGCTGACACAGTGGAAACTCGATGAATTCAATTTATGTTTAAAATAGATTAATTCACACATTATTAACTCATGTGTTTGTTGAATAAATCCAAATTAAAGTTATCAACCAAAATCGATGTTCATATTACATACTTTCGTACTTATGCATGTCCATACATACCTACATTTAAACCCGGCAGACAATTCTGAAATCGAGTTTTCACTGTAATATTCATTAATGCAAAGATAACTTTAAACAAAACCAAATAATGATAATTGAACGCAACCTTTTGCATTGTAGTTGAACATGTCCTATATGTAACAGATTTATAACGAGGAATACCGTAGCATTTAATTCCCTTAATCACGTATACATTATAATATAAATTACCAAAATATTTATCCCAGGCCATATAAAGGGCAAGAAAGCTAGATTACAAATTAAGTTGAATTGATTCATGTCGAATATTTTAAATTTTGCAGAAATAATTTGAATGAAATTATATTAGAAATATTTTGTGTAGGTTTAAATGTGATTGATCACACATTGTTATAAAAACAATGCACGGCGTATATAAGTAAGTGCGTAACGTTGAAATCCAACAAAATCAATAAACAAATTAAATACTTCCTTGTAATAGATATAGAGTCATGGTTCACAATGGGTCGTTTGATTATCGTTTTGCTAGACATTCTTTCCGGACACATTAAAACTAAAATGTTCTACAACGCTAGAACAAAGTCATTTAAATTCTATTTACAATAGCAATATGGACTCGATTAGTTTTGACTATTATGTAATTAGATATTACAAAAATTGAGGGGCCGTCGTGCTATCTCGTTCTTTCTCGTGTATATGAACATGTTTCGTTATTCACTTTCAACTTGTCATGAACTTTGTATTGTAATCGATAAGTGTTCACTTTGGACTCTTCTTTTCCAACTACTACTTCTATTGATTGAAGTTGTCTTTTACAATTTCACCGGCGGGGGCCGGATAAGACGGAGATTGAATAGGGCACTCCAACCCCTGGAAGAACTTGTGGAACGGCTAAAGGCCAACTCCTGACTGACGGATACGACTTTAGTCCTAGAACCCTATCTCAAGACGTCGTAATTTCGATCTCTGTTAGAATATAACATGTATATAAGGGACCTTGTTCTAGCGATACAGATTAAATACAACAAGAACTGTGTCTCTAACTTTTCAATGCACGGAACCCTCCCACAGGGTCCGATTTAATTATACATTCTAAAAAATTAGATAAATCGACCGGTCGATTAAATATAACTAAAACAACGCGCAAACAAACATTATGAATAAAACTTAAGATAAAAAAAAACTATAATACAGACTCATCTCTCTATGTGTACGTACATATCACAAATATAATGTAATGCCTTTACTTGAATTGATATATACATAGCATATTCATTTGTGTAGTATGATATTTTTAAATATGCACTGATTAATCTCCACAAACAGACATTGAAAAATTCGCTATCTGTCTCTGTGTAACTGAAAGTAAATTGCTTAATTAAATAATAATTATATTCTATATAATTACTTTTATATAACATTATTAAAAAGATAGCTATTGTGCATAAACTAAATAAATTTTGAAAAACATTTCCAATGCTATGTATATAAATAAATACATTTCTAGAAATAACTGCTACTGTATAAAGTTGTTTATATAATTACGTACAACTTGCTACGATTCAAAGTTATATCAATAGTATTGTAATATATATTTTGAGGCTAATGGTCGTGTACATTATATTCGTGAAAATGTAAACAACATCCATTTTGTCACATACATCATTAACTTCTATACTATCATATCCATAAGACCGTTGCCCGTTCAATAGCGGATAACGTTTGACTGCTCTCATAGACAAGGAACAAAGAGAATTCCATTTCTAAACACGTTTATGATTAGCGTGTAATTTTTGATTTACCAAAGAAAATGTAAACAGAGAATGAGGTGCCGAGGTGCCACCTCATTTCATTCATTCTGATACAGACTGTAAAATTAACACATTTAGAAATAGATTCTCTTACCAGTTGTCTATGTTACAGATTATATATTTGACCGTTTAAGTGGTATGCGATTATTCGGGATCGAGGGACCACAGTCATTTTTATTGGTGTCCTTAAATCAAACTGCGTGTGACGCGATGAAAATCAACAAAACCTTACAATAATTATGTCTATAATCTGTAAGTGTTCTTTATGGACTTGATATAAAATGTTATATTAGTTATCCGTTTTGTTTTTATAAGTAAGAGTATATTGCAATGATTGGTTGTAATACAAAAATGTCTATTGTTACAAAATATCGGGATCACATTTATTATTGTTGATATAAACAATGTACATGTATATATAATACACAGTACACATAATTATGTATTATTATAATTCGTTAGTATTTCGAGTAACCTTTTTGAATATTGTATCAATTTTGCAGATTACTAGATACCTTTTAATATCCAATGTACAAATAAGGAATAAAATTATTATTTAATTATTTATATAGATTTTGAATAAAATGTTAACATTAGGGATAAAGAAGTTAAACCTTGATGAATTTGTTCAATCATTTACATCTTTTAATGTATGATATTGATTTCCAATGGAATACAAATACTGTAATTGTTTTGAATCGAGTTTTTATAGAATTAATATAATATATCCAAAGACTCCATAATATACAACAAGACTATACTTCTATATATTTATTATCATATTATGAGGTATATGCATTGAGATAAATTTTATAACTATCATGCTATAATCATGACTCGATCAAGAAAGCTTATAATATTGTACTATATACATTAATATTTTGGTGAGCGCGAAATGTTATTGAAAATACTATAATTTCCAAACTAAGTAAGGAAATTTAGTGAACTTAATAATAATAACTCTTTATTGCGCACAGAGAATAATTACAAAGGTAAAAACAGTATGACACAAATAAAATAACATGTACAGAACTTACGTTTTGTTATTTTACTCTGACTAGTGCGACGCAATTAGCCAGCAAACTGTAGGAATATATCGAAACAATGTCGACAAAAAAAAGACAAAAACAGCAAGTTCGTTAAATTCCCGTACAGAGATTATTACAATATAGGACTTTCATGATTTTATGTGAAACTTTAATATGTATTAGGATCTTTCGGTCACGAAAATGTGTTACGGCTATCGTGTTGTGAAGGGAAGAGACTTTTCCGTTGAAGTTTCATTTCTACTTTGTGTCCCAGCATACATTCTTTTTTTGTCATTTAATATTTATGTAATTTTAAAGCACAAAGAACTAAAGTTGAAATTTATAAATATAGCAGTGTATGATTAAATTAATAAATAAAATGAGCTGTACTTATATATAAGCTATTTCTGCTCGTGCTTGTTTTAAAAGTACAGTTGCATATTATAGAATCTTTTGATATACCGAAACTAAAATGAATCACAAAAATGTTATTGTAAAATTAATATTACACTAGACATATTAGTAGCACATTATCTCACGGCCCACTAACATTATCATATTAAAATGTTAAATTGATGCTGTGTATGGAACCAAGTAAACACACTTTAGAATGATGTGATCTTGGGTTCAAATATATCTAATTTTAGTGCTTGTAGATTTCAAAGAAAAATACACTTTTCATTATTAACTGTCATGATTGCTTTTACACGATCTTTTTTATTACTATATACTATTTGAAAAAAGATTTTTATCATACGGTATTTTTCTATGAAATTTTATAATTGTCATTGATTAAAAAAATACAAAGCCCAGTAAATTTTAAATAAAGTTAGCGGGATCCGTGACTTGGCATCATAACTATGACACGGTCAACTTTAACTGGAATAGCGCATTTTATTCTCATTTACATATCTTATATTATTTATAAATACAACTTTTGTCGTATTAGTTTTATTCTTGATACATAAAACTAACATTAGTGTTCAGACTCCTTGTTCGAAAAATGTGTAATTATAATGTATATCACTATAAATGAACATAATGAATCCGGATATAATGCACACCACATAATTGTAGTTACTAAACGTAACCCAGGATTTTAAACCTTACAATTAATATATTTAGGTGTCAGTTTTGGATAGTATAGTAACCAGTCTTTAATGTTTTAAGCGTATGATTACCTGACTGGGATCTGGTTGCTCCAGAACGGGACAATTTTAATTGAAAGTCGTACGTTGTAGACGAAACTATCAATTTGGAATCAATAATAGTCGCTTTTTGTCGCAGACATCGAAATTTATTATATAATTTGCTTTAGAGTAAAATACACTTTAATTACCCTAAAACAAGGTTGAAAACCGTGTCAGTAGGAAAAATAATTTTCAACCTATACAATTATCTTAATAGACATCATACGTGGAAAACTTTACGATGACAACCCACATGACTTGTTTATAAATAAAATAATAAAACGTCATTACAATATAGAATCAATATTTTACAATTAAATTTGATTAGGATTTATTATGAGACAACTAAAACATTAAAAAAGATTGTTGAAAACATATTCGCGACAGTAAATCGTGCGACAGTGAAGTCTACATCGTGCGACAGTTTAGAACCTGCCATTGCGTGGTGAGGGGCTCATTCGCTGATGGTGCGTTTGTTGGCCGGCTCCTCTAAGTCAGTTTCGGGAGGTTGCTCAAGTCCTGGCAGTTGGATTTGTGTGTCGGACGCTTCTGATGGCTGTGGACGAGAGATGATTTATAATTAATTTTCAAAACATTATATTGGGATTATTTGTGCTTGAGTTACATAGCTTTAGCAATACATTACAATCTTATTATTATTATTTTAATATTATAAATGCGAAAGTTTGTAAGTATGGATATCTGTTATTCTTACACGCCAAGACAACTAACGAATTTTGAAGAAACTGTACAGTAATATGGCTCATGCATCAGAATAACACATAGGCTATATTTTTATTAGAATTTGACGCGGATGAAACCGCGAGCATAGTTAGTATAAAATAATGTATGTCAACCAACAGAGGCGACTTTTAATTAATTTTCAAAATATTGAGTTTCTCGATCTTGGGTTACATACATGAGCAACATATTACAATATCAAATATAGTATTATAATGTATGTTAGCCAACAAGTAGGTTTGACATCTATTTTCACCAATTAGGTGAAAATGGGTGTGCTGTAATCTACACAAGCGAAACATATGTCTTATACATGTAATACATTATTTATGTCTAAAGGAAGAACATAAATTATTTACATATTATATGGTTTAAAGTATACAACAGTTAAAAAGGTTTAAATCAGTATAAATTATGTAAATATATATATATACTAGCTGTCTCGGCAAACGTTGTTTTGCCTTAAAAAAAAATTTAGGGGTGGACTACCCCTAACATTTAGGGGATGAAAAATAGATGTTGGCCGATTCTCAGACCTACTCAATACGCTCACAAAATTTCGTGAGAATCGGTCAAGCCGTTTCGGAGGAGTATCGGAACGAAAACTGTGACACGAGAATTTTATATATAAAATTCAAAGTAATAGGGGTAGCACCAAAAAGTTACTATGTAAGCCAAAATATATTACATGTATAAAACTTTTTAGTGTTATCGAAAAATGTATTTTCGATAACACTAAATAGATTTGTATGATAAGTTGAAAGAATTATATATAGCATTTCGTTCAATTATTTATTTTGCTATATGCATCGACTGAAATTTTTAAGTATATTAAATACTTACAAATTGCTGAAAATTAACATAAATATTATGTGCGAAATAATATTTAATATTTATTATTTCTATATATAATACATCCATTAACAATTTTTAAATGATGTCATTAAAAATACTCTAAATTGCGAGTGTTTTACCTTAGCGTCAATACTTCCTGAGCGTCCAGTTGTCAGCTTGAAAAATTATAATTCCCGTGAATACTAGCATAAAACTACAACATAAAGGAACAAAGAAAAGGTATGTCTAGCATAAATCATGGAACTAAACGGTCAGTAGCAAACGCAGCGATACCTCTTTTGAAAAAGTAATTTCTATTTTTAATGACACTCTATTTTTTATTTAAAACTATATTATAGATAAAATAACTTAATATATAATTTAGCACACATGTAACAATAATTAATTATTTATTGCACTCTAAAAATGTGTGTATTTGACAAGCTTAATGCCATAAGGACCTTTTTAACAACGAAGCATTGTTTGATAAAAAAGCGATTGATGGGCAGTGATGGGGAAAGAAAACATATATAAAATCATAAACATACATATATTAAAACTAGCTGTCCCGGTGTAACGTTGCTTTGCCATAAAAATTATTCTTGCTATTAAAAAATAGGGGTTGGTAATAGAAGGGTGAAAATTTAGGGTTGTATGTATTTTTTAATACCACATAATAAAAAAATACAAAATTAGACCTGGACAACCATTATCATTTAAAGGTATTACAAATGGATAGTTTCCGATACTCGAACCTACTGAATATGCATATATTTCATAAAAATCAGTCAAGAATTTTATATATAAGATATATATATTGTACTTGTACTATGATGTGACATGTTTTGTCTAAAGTCAACATAAATTATTAATATTAGGAGTAATTAGCATATCATTTAATTACTAACTGAATGCTATTACAATTTTACTTATATAATGCTGTCTGCAGTCGAAATAAACAAATCAAAATATACATGAATATTAACTATATAACTCAAAAAGAATATACAACTGGAGTTTAATGTCATATAAATATTCTACCAGCTCATAATTATGTAAAAACTGTGACAAAACATATTTAAAACTAGATGTTCCCGCGATTTCGTCCGCATGGAATTAAACTTTATTTTCTAAAATAAAATATGTTTTCTAAAATGAAAGTAGCCTAAGTTACTCATTATTACATCAGCTACCTGTCAAAAAAAGTTCCGTCACAATCGGTCCAGCCATTTCAGAGATTACCCGGAACAAACAGACAGACAAAAAATGTTATTTTGGTATATGTACTGTATTTATATTCATATGCATGTAGTAAAAACAGTTATTTCAATATTACAAACAGACACTCCTTATTTATATGTATACAAGTATAGATTGCCTAACTTAGTTAATTTGTTTACAAATTTAATAGGAAACCCGCCTGTACTGCAAAATAGAAGGAAAGGAGGGAATAGGGAGGGGAAGACCAATGCACCGATACATCAAGCAAATTGAAGACAAAATTGGAGTCATCATATCCACATATAGATCATGGAAATTGGCAAGAGCTCCACCGACAAGAGCATGGCACTTAAATTATGAACCAATGAATGACACGCCTTGACTAACAGTAACAGATGGCGGGGCATCAATGCAAAATCATAGAATGAGAATGCAGACAGATCGGTTAACCCAACATGGCGAATACGTTTTTCAAAACAAAGCTAAGAATCCGCGTAGATCTCGACCTAACATGCCACATTTCTAGGGCTTATAACCTCTTCCCATCTGTTATAAAGGCCATACTAGTTGTACAAATACACACATTCTAGCATCATAGTATGAAAGATATAATAATACATATAAGCATATAGTACATGTTAAGCTTACCTCAACGTCGTTTGCAAATGCTTCGTCCACCAAGGGTCGGGGCCGCTTTTTGCCGCGAGCATTGACGTCTGGATTCGACGCCTGTCGTTTAGGTTGGAACTGTAACGTTAATGAAATGTACATTAAATAAAAAAGAAGGCGACAATATATGTGAAACACAGACGAACATTTGATACAATATAAATTTTAACTCCCTATTATTGTATTTTATGAAGGTTAATTGACTTTTTTGTGATAGACGCTAAATTTAATATTAAAAGGTAATTAAATTAATATACAATGTACTCGAAGAACTGTAGACACTGGGTTTAAAAAATGTTAATTTAATCCATGTAGATTATTGCGATTATAGCAGTTTAGCACACCACTTTTCTTCCGATGGTTGTGGGTTCGAATCCTTGCATGGTTAAACATTTAAATTCATGAGTATTCATGATTGTTTGTATTGTCATCTGAGTGTTTTCTATAATCTATAATAATAATATAATAATCTCAGGACAATTCACACAGCGCCATCTAGTCCCAAGTTAAGCTATCTAAAGCTTGTGTTACGGGTACTAGATAACTGATACAAGTACATAGATAATTTACTTTTTCGTAAATACATACATATTATACATAGAAAACACCCAGACCGATACAAACAATCATACTCATGAATACAAATGTTTGTGCCGTGCGAGGAATCGAACCCGCGACCATCGGACATAAAGCGGTGTGCTAGACCGCTAGACCACCGAGGCTGTCAAATTCTATGTATATGTTTGTATTTACAAAAAAATATCTAAATGTTTATATCATTGTCTAGTACCTAGACACAAGTTCTGATGGCACATTGGGACTGGATGACTTTGCGTGAATTGTACATGTCAATTATTTTTATTATTGAATAGTTCGGATATAGCTTGGTAAAACTTGGTTGACTGTTCGGCAGCAAACGGCGACGCTATAAATTTTGAATTTGCCATCGTGGGCTAACTGACCTGACCTCATGCCCAACTTATTATCCTCCGGTGGTGCCTCGCCAGCGTAGATAGTTAGCGCAGGCGGGTGCACCATTCGATTATCATCCATTAAACAAACATTGCACAAAGTTTGTGTAGGTACTACAGTCTCACCTATTTCAGCCACCAAGCAGCTTGCTTTGTAAGCTATTTCGATTGTAGGGTTCAGATTAGGTAGTGAATTTATAGGAGGCATGAAATTACTCCTCTGGACTCCTATCGTAGGAGTCACATAATAACTTGATGTCCGTAGTGCTGTTCATAAGCAATGACTACCACATACCATTGGGTGGGCGGTCAGTTTTATATTCCAGTTAAAATAAATCAGTAATGGCTTACTTATTAGCTAGCTTGACCGCTTACCTGTAACTCTGGCGGTAGGAACACGCGCGTGTTGACGAAGTAGTCTGATTGCGGCGCGAAGTACATGCTGGGAATGCGCGCGTCCGACGGGAAGTCGCGCAACTCGAAGCTCTGCGATCGCGCCCAGATCACGGACATGGCCAGGTCGCACACCGCCCATAGTTTCTGTAAAACATACATTTATTATTTATTTATATAACTTCAATGCACAAAATACCAAGGTAAATGTACCAAGGTACATATGACGGACTTAATGCCTTACGGCATTTTCTACCAGTCAACTACAGGTTGAGCAGAGAAAAATTGTAGAGGTAAATATAAACAATAAAAAAACAATAGGTCAAAAAAAAAATTATACATAATATACTAAACGTAAGTACATGTAAACACATGCATATACATACACAAATGCATATAATATATATCAATCTATAAATAAATATAAAATAAAATATATAAATCAAATATACCATATACATACTGTGACAATGAAAAAGTGAAAACAGAGAGAGAACGTAACAAAAGATAGGAAATAGAGACTAACAAAAAAAAAAGACAAACAATTATAACTTAGAAAATGTACACACTAAAGAGCAATAGATATACATTTATATTATACATTATCTTATATACCTTTCTATTATATATAATAGAAAGGTTACATATTGGAAATGGTTATTATGTTACTAGCCATCCGCCCCGGCATCGCACAAGTGTACATGATACATATAAACCTTCCTTTTGATTAACTTTTGACGCAATTGAGTTTCTTATCTCTTCTTCTAAATTAAATTTATATACTGAACTAGACGGTGGAGAAGAAAATATTAATACGAAAACTTAACTTTCATAAGCAGTTAAAATGTCCTACATGAATAAATGATTTTTGATTTTGTTTTTTTTTATTCTACAACAACGATATATATCTCACAATCAGATTAATTTTATTTATTATCGGTATTTCTATAACCGGAGATTATCATAAATATAAATTGACATACTATGTTTTTTCTCAGCCATATTTGATATCATGAATTTGGGTGTAAGTCCGTGTGATGTCTGAAGACTCATGCATTGCTATTCCGAAGGACAAAGATCTCTACCTATTCCTATATCCTGTAATTTCACAGCCCAATCTGCATCCTACACCGGAAACAGCTGGACCAAAAACCAAGCTGTTCGACAGCTGAAATAGGCGAGACTGAGGTACCCACGAAGATGAGTCTTACAAAGTCTAATCGCGGGACTGATTAGATGTAATTCATTTTATTACTTACGTAATTAACAGCGTCATCTGATTCATTGAGCGCGTCCTTGTGGTTCTTCATACGCTCCACGAGACTCTTGTAGAACCCATAGCAGTAGAAGTCGTTACGTGTGATCAGTGGCTCCAGGATAAACCATAGACACTGCTTCACCGTCTGTGAATAAATAAAAATGATATTAATAATCTTTATTCATAAATATACAGTAATATTACAGTTAGTTAGCCCTGGCTTTAGTTATAGGTAAACCTGTGCCACGAAAGCTAGTTCCCTCCATCATACTGTAAACATTTTAGGTACATTTACATGAAGAAATTTAATATAACTGTATATTAATATGTGAATAAAAAACTTTGTACACTATTTTACAATAATTACACGAACAGAAAATTATAAAATTTGACACAGTTTTAATGAAAGTTCGTTTATAATAGAACCTTAACAATATTCAAACTGAAATTTTAAATTCATTATGACGATGGTTTTGCGGTTTAGCACTTCCGATGATCACGGGTTCGAATCCTCGCACGGTACAAACATTCGTATCCATGACAATGACTATTTGTATCGGTCTGGGTGTTTTCTATGCATATTATCTATGTACATATTTATAAACAAAAATGTATCTGTTTTGATATCAGTTGTCTAGTAGACAGAACACTAGGTCTGCTTAGCTTGGGAGTAAATGACGCTGTGTAAATTGTCCTGAGATATTACTATTATGGTCAAATATAGAACCCCGAACCACCCCATATGTAACACATCCATAAGTAATCTTGAGAGAGAAAAATAACCTGCGTGAGTACATGATTATTGCAATTCTGTGTAGTAAAGAATTTCGTGTAACGTAATTTATTGATGGCCTGTTACATAAATAAGCTACGTGAGTACATGCGTACATGATTATTGCAGTTTAGTGCAATTATGGCTGGCTCATCAGTCACATTCGTAAACGGGTGTTGCTTGGTCAGTTCAGTACGAACACTGATTAGACCTTTTGCAATTCATACGCTGGTGGTCCTCTATTTTCCCAAATTTTAATTTAAAATAAATTTGTATTATTGTAAACATGCACAATATTTATTTGAAAAGAATGCGAGCTGAGTTTCTTGTCAGTTCTTCTCATCTCTAATCATTTCAAACTGACAGTAGATTTGACATATCATAATAGTCTGTAATAGACCTACATGAATAAAGATATTTTGAATTTCAGTTTCAATTTTGTGTGGTAAAGAATTTCGTGTAACATAGTTAATTGAGGACTCGTTACACAATTAGGCCGCGTGGGTGTAGTTCCTTGTGCCAACACAAGTAGTATGTTGTCGTGGGACGTACCTTGAGCTGCGCGACGTTGTCGAAGTTGGTGAAGGCGGGGTCGTGTGTGAGCACGGGCACCGCGAACACCAGCATGTAGTCCGGCAGGATGTGAGGCAGCTGGCTCACCGCGCGCTCCACTGTATACACACAATCACTAATATATACAACATTTTCTTCATGGATCATTAATTTCAGAGGCTGATTGCGGAGAATAGAGTTCAATTTACATTTATGGATGATTCAATAACGATGTACGGTGACAGGGCACCAGTGGTATGATAACTGTGAAGTAATGTCAGTTGGTTATGGTGGTTGATTCACATGGAATAATAATATACATATGCCTACAATCAGTTTGCCTCAAAGATATAGAAGAGATATATGTTCACGACACATTTTGGTTTATTTTTTAGTTTAAAATTATTATTTATTATTAAATGTTGAAATAGCCTTCCTCCAAGTAATTAAAGAAAATTTTCTATTTACCTATATACACAAGATAGTGTAGACCCGGAGTAACGACATAGGCTACTTTTTAATACGAAAAAAGGGTTGTAAGGCGTTGAAAATGAAAGGTATTATGGAAGTATCGTCATTTTTGAAGCCAGAAGCTTGAAACTTATTTTTAGACTGTTGGTTAAATATACATCTATGCCATTCAAAGTTTGTAAAAATTTTACTCTAAAGTGAGTAAAATAAAATCGGTGATGAAAGTGCGTATGGTTATTTTTGAAGCTAGAACGATAGAACTGTTTTTTTTATGCGGACCCAGCTAGTATACATCTGAAAGTAGAAATGTTTGTTACGTTTTCACGCAAAAACTACTGAACCTATCATCATGAAATTTTGTAGGACATATGTTGTTGGAGGTATTAGAGTGAACATAGGATACTTTTCATTAATAAAAACAAATATTTTTATAAAAAAAATAAAATATCTATCATTTTGCTAATTCAGCGTCATCTAGCAGCCAGTAGTGAAGTTATGCGAGGGAAGCCGCTGGTAAAAGCTAGTATAAAAATAAAACTACAACACGTTCCAGTACGAATTGAATACCTTTAGTGCCGACGGTGATGTTCCGCACGTACTCGCGACGTCGCACGACATCGGCCATCATGTACTGTCGCACGATCGATCGCACGCGGCGGTCGGGCTCCCGGCCGGCCAGCGCGTACATCCCCATGAAGTCCAGTGGTAAACACTTGTTCGGTATACCCTGCATCATACAACATCATTGTACGCACCATTTAGTTTTGAATTTAATGAACCGCGCCATATTTTAAAATAGGAACAACATAAAGAATATAATCAGTCATAAAAACCACCACAAGACATAAAGAGCTTCTCGAACTTGTTCGGTATACCCTGCATCATACATCATAGTATGCACCATTTAGTTTTGAATTTAAAGAACCGCGCCATATTTTAAAATAGAAGCAATATTAAAAATAATAATCAAGCATAAAAATCACTAAAGACATTAACTTCGTAAAAAAAGTTGTATTTAAAGTTACGTACATCTATATTAGTTTATGAGATTAATGCAATCATAGTAATAATATAAATGCAAGTATGTATATTTGTCATCTTTTCGAGACTAAATTAATAAATATTTATTCAAATAAACTTAAATTTCAGCACTTTTTAATAGATATACCTTTTTATCTATTACATATTTGCTTACCTGGTGCTCTTTAAAACACATATTGTAAAACTTTACATTAATTATCAAATCAAAGTATTTACATATAAATAAAATAATATGTACTAATTAAGTTGTTAGGCATACCTTTGATAGTCCTTTGTGTAATTTCGCTGCAAACGTTTCTCTCACTTGTGGGACGTTATCCTAAAAAAATATTAATTATAAGAATTGTAAAATATTACTGCCTCACAAATACTATACTAATATTATAAATGTAAAAGTTCAGCATTATAAGAAAAACTACTGAACCGATCAACATGAAATTTTGTACACAACCATGTTCTTGGAGATATTAGAATGAACATAGGATACTTTTATTGAAAAAAAAATTTTTTTTTTATTTAATGCAAGTGTAGCCGCGGGTAAAAACTAGTAGGCTACAATTTAAAAAGATATTATGTAAATTGGCCATGGAAGTGTGATGCAGACGAAGTTGCGCTGGTCAGCTAGTAAACAATAAAAATACATAAAGCCAAATTAGTGGAGACTACTTACAATCATGAGGTGTGAAAGATTATAGAACTGCTCGGCCGTGAACTGATCGCCGACGCCCTTCTGTTCGCAGATCTTGAGCATGGCCGCTCCCGCCGCCAGCCGCAGGTGAGCCATCTCCGCTTTAGACAACTGGTTTTGCTGTAATCAAAAAATAATTGGTATATCTTTTTGGCTTCCTCAGCATAAAATGATGTCACGCTATTTTCATAGAATGTAAGTTGACCATAAGTGAGAGGTATCCTAAAAGAACAAATTATTTAGATTTTAACATGTATACCAATTTCTTTCAGCTATGGGCATGTTATGCGGAGGATTGTCTTATGGAAAGTGTATAATATGAATGTGGATGGATGTAAAGGGAGGGGACGCCCTATATTGTGTGATTATGAATAAAAGAAGTAATGACGACCGATAGAGAGCAGTGGAAGAGAATGACATACTGCGCCGACCCCAAATAATGGGAAGGCAAGGCAACGCAATGATGATGACCAATTTCTTTCTTATATTAATGTAATTTTGAAATGGCAAGAAAACTGACAGCCTCCTCATGGTGCATGGTAAAGGTAATATGTTACCATTACATAGGACAATAAAACAAGCTACTTTGCGTTTGAAATAGGTGAGACTGATGACGTTTAAAAAGTCTATAACTATGAATGCATCAAAAAAGCTTTTATTGCATTGATAACATTTTTTTTAATAAATGATAAATACTATAGAATAATTTAGCAATTGTTAGTAGTATATCTTTAAGTTATTAATATTATTATTAATCTATGAATATTTGGACATATTTTTAAATTTTAGAATTAGATATTACTTTTGTATCTTAAATTCAACACTATACTTATTGTTAAAAATAAATAATTATTCTGTCAGCTAGTACTCTAATGTAGAAATTAAAATAATCACATTAAAAATCTTACACTGTTCACCTGTAATAAATCTCCTTTGTGTACAATGAACGCGTTTAGCATCCTGAACGTCTTCTGTGCTGACAATTCATCTTTCTTCAGTCCGAGTAACCACCGCGCCATACACTTGAGTCCTTCCAGCTTGCAACGAGTCTCCTCAGGTAACTCGTCCTCACTGCACCAATCGTCACCGGGGGCGTTTGGACCACCACCGCCTTCGCGGACCAATAGTTCTTTCACTATCTGCAAAATAATGTGGTTGTTTTAATGCTCCTATGATAGAGCAATATAATGGCTACGACAATGATGATTATATTAATATCAATTTTATGTTAAAAAAAATATAGTTCCAAATATGCCGAAGCATGGTTTCAGTATATGTAATTTATACAGAGAATCATATCTGTCATCTTAATACATAAATTTAAAAATTATAAAATATGGAATTAAATATAACAAAATCTTTTTCTTTTTATATACAATTTTTTCAAGTTAAACGAAAAACAACTTCAGTTAGAACAAAATTAGTATGTGACCTAACTGTACCAAAAAAATATACATGAATATCGCGGAACTTGACGACATTGAAGGCCGCAGGTTCAATTTCTCGGACAATACAAAAAAGATTTGAATTCATAAGTACTATTGTTTGTATTGGTTTAGTTGTGTACTATGTTTATTATTTGTTTATAAATTTACAAAAAATGAGTACACAAACATTACTTAGCTTGTAACTGTGTGAATCCTGGCTTATTATTATTACTTCTACTTAAAATATTTGCACTAATTATTTTTTTATCAAATTGTTTTTTAATATAATTGGTATTTTTTTTTTAATAGAAATAGAAATAATCTTTATTCAACTATTTTGAATAGTCATATTTTGATTCTACCACTCATTCGGAATGCAGATTCATCACAAGAAGAATGAGAAAGAAACTTGTGTGATGCTCTTTTTAAAAAATAGTTCAGTTTAAAAATTTCTTCATTAAAAAATTGGTAATTAAGTTAACAACGACCCATCTTGATGGTAAACGGTAACCATCACCTATATGCATAAACAGCACTTCAGAAATCATATTACCATGTGACACCCGAGATACCAATCATGCGTTGCCATTCTACAGGACTTGAAATCAATTCGGCAGGTCATGAAATCAATGTCTGAAAATATAGCAGTCTTCTTTTGAGTCTAACTTACCTTCCTGGAGACAATATTTTTGATGTGAACAGGGAAATTGTCTGGCAGATTATGAGCGATGTGACCAAGTGTGACTATAGCAGTGCGGTAGTGTTCCGAATGTGGACTCAACGTTGTTTTTAGCGTCTCCAATATCTCCGTGAAGATCTGCGTGCGCTGCTCGGGAACATTCACGAATAGACACCTGCACACACAAATATATATGTCCATATTGGTACAGAGCATATCAGAAAAATCTCAAATTAGTGCCCGAAGGTACACAGACAGTGCGGTTTTAGCGAAATTGCCTAACACGTACACTGTAATTGGCATTGTGTGATCGCCTCATTGTCTTTTTTTTACATGACGCAAATGAACTTATAGCTCTACTGACGGCAATTGATTACCGTGGTCCATCAACCCCAACAAGATAATGTTTCTTCATATCAAAGCACATGTTTTTTCATGTCAACATTTGCTTTGTCGGGCTTTAGAAGAAGAGATGGAGTAGAGGAAGAACACGAGAATTAAGATACCCATAGGGTAGAATTGGCCGTCCTAATTATTAACATTCATTTAAGACATCGACTACAAAAACAGAAATCAACCCAGGCAAGTTGGTTTCAAGTGTATACTGCAAAATGTGGGCATATCATATGTTTTGTTCACCATGACGTCGGTAATTGATTAATGTTTCAGTCGTAACGGTGTGTATATTCATCATCGTCATCATTTCAGTCCGGAAGACGTCCACTACTGAACAAAGACCTCCCCCAATAATCTCCACGGCGATCCGTCTTGGTTTGTATATTAAATCAGTTTAAATTTTTAGATAGAAAATAAAACATACCTGACAGCATTCTTAGCTTGCTTTGGAGTGCCAACTTCAGCATATGCCTTGCAGAGTACGATCAGTTTTGGGAATAAAGAAGGACACGCCTCTCCTGGAAATTAGATAAAAAATAAATTAACTATTATACTGAAAATAAATTATAATAAATTTATAGATTAATTGCCAGAGTTTCGTGCTATTGGGGTACTTTTTTTTATTATAACATTATTCACTACGAAATCACGTCACAAAATACTTTAATATTTAATTTCCCATTTAAAATGTTTCAATCTTTTGGTGGTAGAAATATAGTGATAGATATATCCACGCAGATGACTTTGTATGAAATCTCTTTGTGGTAAATTAAATTATGTGTGATGTTTGAAAACAAATTTAATTGGATACTTACAAATATATGCATGCTGAGATTGACATGGTTTTTTATGCATTTTATATTTAATACCAATGCATATTTATAATTACACCTCATTATCTTATGCAAATAATGCATTACTTTTAAATAAATTTGCCTATAGCACGGGATAATATACCTTCCTAACAGTGAAAGAATTTTTAAAAAATCAAACAAGTTTGTAACTTAACCTCTATTATATTAGTATAGATAAACGAAAAGACTGGCAGCAATTTTGTTTTATCTTATAAAATTGTCGTGTCACAATGTTAGTTACCATACTCATCCGGAACGCCTTGACCGATTTTTATGAAATTTTATATACTCAGTAGGTCTGAGAATCAATTAGTATCTATTTTTCTTAGCCCTAAGTGACAAAAGTTGTCCTCTCCCAACATTTATTTCAATTTTTTGGGCAAATTTTTTAAATTGTAGCTTTAAAAAAATACATACAACTAAATTTCACCCTTCTATCACCAACTGCTATTTTCAATAGCGATTTTAATTGATAAGGCAAAACAAGGTTTGCCGGGCAGCTAGTAGCATGTAAAGTTACTCACCGAGAGGGCGGTACTTCCCGAGGAACGTGAGTGCGGCGAGTATATGCGGTGCGACGGCCTCGTCGTCCAACTCCAGCAGCGACGTGAGCCTGTTCAGAACATCCTCGTGGAGGAAGTGCGCGGGGAACACGAACGACAGCATCACCAGTAACTTGAGACCCCTCTCTGCGCACTTCTTTAGTTCTATGCCTGTGGGATACACATTTATTATTATAAATGGAATTAACTGTGCCCACTACTCGTCAGCGTGGTATAGGGACCTTTACTAAAAAAAATAAAAATTATTTAATAATTTATCTATTAAAAACAGCCAATGAAATAATGACATCGTTCTTCAGCTTCAAATATAACTGTTAAAGCGGTTCCCTAGGGATATGTATCCCGAGAGATATATTCCTTCGATAAGACTGTCGTCACAGATCACGGGCAAAGTAAGGAGTTACGAGCGTACCTGGCTTTCTGCTATGGCGTCTTGGTGCAGGAATCGATGATCGACGACGATGATGATCGATGAACTGATCACACACACAACACGCGCGGCGGAAATTAGTGTATATACACCTTGAATATTGCACACTATCTATATACACCTTGACAATTCAATAGTTTATTAAATCGTAGTGATTCAATTATTATAAAACGTAATTATGTGCGAGCGGCGTTTCTCAGACACGAGCGGGAAAAAAAAAGTGAAAATCTTTCTTTCCATAGATGGCGCGGGCGTACTCGGCTCCTTTCGGCCCTAGATCGTGAGTATGTCTGTCCTTGTCTATTACACGAGATGTGCATTTAAACTAGTTGTGGCGCAAACATTCCCCCGGCCTTAAAGGGTTGCCTTATAAAAAAAATATACATATATACATACAACTGGGATAATGAATAGCAGTATGCGGAAGATATATATAAATAAATGAGCGGTATATTAATGTGTATAAGATTAATCATAAGCGGGAAGTTATCTGTTTATGTGAATACGATATATGAATGAAAGTTATATATAACTAAGCTAAATCTAAATTTTACTTATATTAAATATATAACTATTGATGCGGCAATGGGCACAAACGAACTACCGGGCGAAGGTAGCTACCCTTTGAAGTTAACAGTGACCACTCGCGTAGTTCCGTCTTTGGAAGGATGTACCTTTTCAACGACAGCTAATGGCCATGAAAAGGGCGGTTTATTATTACTAAAATTACAAATATAGTAAAAACTAAATGATGGAAAATTCCATTTAGCGCGTGTCTGAATTGATGCAGATAATTGTTATCGCCACCGGCGCCAGAAAGATTTATCAATGCTATCCAGAAGGGAATGGCGTTGATTTAAATCGTGCGTGTTATTTGCGCGCAGGAATGGATGAAAGAGGGACAGTATTAAAAAATGAGCCGGCGTAAAGCAGACGGCTCAATCCATTTTAAAAACGCGAATTAATAAGTGCCTCAACCTGAGAAAGCACTGTTATAAGTTCCTCATAAGAGAGAATTTGTGATCCTATCACCTTAAATAAATTATTTTTAACTATTTTTAGATGCTTTCCCAACTTCCACCGAAGTGGGGAGCAGCGGGAGGAATAAATTTCATACTAATGCGATTTTCTGAAAGTTCTAATTCTAAATGCGGGCGATATTCATCAAGAAATTTATATAAATCGCGAAGATACTTGCGAGCACCCACGAAACATGTTCCATTGTCCGTATATAAACAGTTTATCGGGCCTCGGCGAGATAAGAATCGTTTAAGTGCGGATAAGAAACTAACCGTGCTTAAATCAGTAGCAACTTCAATATGAGTAGCACGGGTTGTCAGACAAGTGAAAATACATAGCCATGCTTTGCGGCCTTTAACCCCCGACCACGAATAGGTGTGTACTGTAAGGGACCGGCATAGTCACAACCTATATGCGTAAATGCCTTATCAACTTGAGTGACGCGGTGGCTCGGTAGATCGGCCATGAGTGGAAACGTAGGGCGCGGTTTTATTTTAAAACAAGCGTTACATTTATGAATGCGATAACGTATTAAGCGGCGAGCGGACAGGATCCAGTACTTCTGCCTGATAAGGACATAAGTAACTCTGGTCCTGCATGAAGATGCTTCTTATGATAAAAATCGATAAGAATATCGATAACATGATCGCGGCGCGGTAAAAGTAGAGGATACTTAGTGCAGTAATCCTCAGCGGAACTTGACAAGCGACCACCGACGCGGATGACATCGTCCTTGTCTATAAATGGTCGGAGCTTGTTTAAAGCGGAAGAACAATATTTATTATTTTTTAAATTATTAAACTCATGTGCAAAATATACTTCTTGCACGGCGCGGATTAACTTTATTTCAGCAAAATCTAAGTCTTCACTGTAATAACGGTATTACGAGGAAGGCGTTTAATAAATTTATATATATAAACAATAGTCCGTAATAATTTAGAATATACAGAAAAGCGTTGAGATAGCGCGTAAAGTAATGATTCAGAGGTATTTGAAATTAATGTGTGTATAACAGTCCGTTGTTCGGGAATGTCTTCATTCGATAAGTCGTGATTAACAGCAAGTGGCCACTCGGCCGGGTTACTTAATACCCATGAAGGTCCGGTGTACCATAGCGGATGGTTTACTAGCTTGTCTGGTGTGAGTCCACGAGACAGGCAGTCTGCAGGATTATCGGAACCAGCAACGTGATAGAAACAGTCTGCCGGGACGTTATCGATAATTTGTACTACCCGATTGGCAACGAAAGTTTGCCAGCGGTGCGGAGAAAAGTGGATCCAACCAAGAGCCACTTTTGAATCACTAAAGGCGTATATATTATTCACAGGATACCGTGGTGCGATAGTATCAACAACCTTACGAAGTAGTTTTGCGAGTAATACGGCTGCGTACAATTCTAATCTCGCGATGGATACAATTTTTACAGGCGAGACCTTTGACTTGGCGCATAATAATTGAACAAAATATTTATTATCAACCTGAATGTGTAGGTAGACTACACCGCCATAAGCACGTTCACTAGCGTCAGAAATCTATTCAATTGACAATCCTCAACCACACCTAGGTGTCGCGGTATGCAGCCCAATCAGAAGCCTATTAAGCGAGGTAATTTCACAGCAGTTCTAAACAGAACTGTCTCCAGGCTGCGATGATATGATGCGGGGGTTGAGCATCCCAATCACATTTCAACAACCAGAGTTCCTTAATAAGGAGCTTGGCGTACAAAATAGCGGGAGCCACGAAACCTAAAATGTCCCATAAACGGGCAACAGCGGAGAGAATAGCGCGCTTAGTACATATAGCGTCTGGCGTGATTACCTTGAACTTAAAAGAATCATTAGAGTTATCCCAAAATAGACCTAAGATCTTGTGCGGGGTGGAATTATCGAATGATTTGTCACTGAGGGTTTTGTGTGTATCCGGGATGTGAGCAAGCACGTCGCGGGAGCTGCTCGTCCACTTTACGAGATCAAACTGTGCCATTTTAAAATGCAATAAGTTCGTTGCTAATGGTAATAGCCTGTTCATCTGTCATAACAGAAGATACGATATCATCCATATATAGTGCAGACGAAGCAACAGCGGCAGCAGCAGGGAATTTATCCCCTTCATCTTCAACTAGTTGTTGAACAACGCGGAGCGCGAGAAATGGACTCGACCTCAGTCCGAAGCATACACGATTAAATTCATATTCAGTCACAGGATCATCGGTGCTGAAGCGGTACAAAATTCGCTGAAACCTACGATCGGGTATATCAACTATTTGATGAAACATTTGAAAACAGTCGGCGGAAATACAAACTTTAAAAGACGAAAGTTAATTAAAATACTAAATAAATCACCCTGTAGGTTGGTACCACTATGCAATATATCATTTAACGAACATTCAGATGTCGTTTTACAACTGGCATCTAAAACCACGCGCAATTTAGTGGTGACCTTATCCTCCGATGACTCCGTGATGTGGAATGTAGTACGAGGGTATAAGTGAATTGTCTTGATGCGATTTAACTGGACTTAAATAGCCCTTATCAATATATGCGCGAATTACTTCGTTATAAGGAAAACGAAAATGAGGTGACGCTTCCAACTTACGTTCTAGACATAAATAACGTCTATGTGCGGCAGCGAAAGAGTCGCCTAAGGAGAACACGTCCTCTCGAAACGGCAGGGATACGATATATCTACCACTATCATCACGAGTAGTGGTGGCGCGAAAATATAGTTCACACTCGAGATCATCGGCACTCTGAGCGGGCGGCGCGGTTATCTCCTCCACATTCCCAAAAACTTTGAAGAGAGAAATACGATCATGAATCACGGAACAACATGACGTTGTATATGCGTGTATTTAATAATGCGGAATTAGGCGATGCGGAATTAAAAGTGGGTACGGAACCCATGATTACAAACCCTAATACGGTTTGTATCGCAGGCGGAATATTACGATGCTTGCTGTAGTGTATGTGGAAACACTAGCAGTTTATTATCTATCGTCTCGAGCCGAGCGTACACGGACCGCCGTGCGCAAGAGGGAAGGGATTCCTTGCGCAAGCGCCGCGGAGTAAAGACGTGGAGCTGTGGATAACGAGCCGATATTACGTCGATAACAACTTACATACAAGAAGACATAAATAACAAATAAGTGAACACTATATGTGGCGACGAGGCAAAATGGATATAAATAAAGATAAGTACAAAATCATTTAATAAGATATACATATCCTACGGGTAAGTAATTACAAATTTAGAAGGATTATGGTGGGGCCGCACGGGGAGCGATTTATATAGACCTATACAGTAAAAACAATATCTGGGTAACATCGGTTTACGATCGATTTGCGCCAAGTAAGTAGGTACCTAATTATAAATTGTACTTGCTATACCTATAGTGTCTCTAGCTGGTAGGAATAGTCGTATTAATAATCATTATAGTAATATGTTTACGTATATCCGTGATTTATTATTTTTAATGTATGATAATGGTGTACTGCCTGCGCTGGCGTGGCACTGATGGAGTATGGTAGAATGAGCGGGGGGGGGGGGGGGGATAGGATCGGTTGGCCCGTCGTGGTGGGTTCGTGTTAATTTGTCGCGATGGTTTCTGGGGGGAGCCGCGTGGGCAGGTCCCTCTGGCGTGATATATTGTTAGCAGTAATATTTTAACAATCCCATTCCCCCTTCCGTATTTCCGTGTTGA